TATAATTAATGCAGCGCCTCTATACTTTTCGGTAAAATCTCGTATTGCTCGGATCATGTATTATCTGTAGTAATATCAAGAGGATATTTTTTAAATGAGTGTATACGGTTTTGCATTAAGGTCCTATTTATTTATTAACGCTACAAGTGCGAGATCGTGTGCGGTCGACTATCTGATAACGCTCTAAAAAAATCGTATTGACGCTCCAGGCAACATGTCTATTCTCCCTTAAATGCTTCCCGCTAGTCGAACATCCGTTTCCATGGTCCACTCTACCCATTCAATAATGAACCTTCGGCGCTGTCTGAGTTTCAAAACCGCCTCCGGCAGCTTTTCCGCAGCGTAGTGATAACTACAATTAAGTCTGTTGCAGCCGTACAACGATCGACCAACAAGTTAATTCTATTGCACTCACTCGTTTAACATTCACACGCTTCTCAAAGCTCCACGTTCATCGGTTGACCATCTGATAAGCAAGTGACAGGCATCATTACGTCTTGTTGCTTCCAGACGAACTATGCATCCAATGTCATGAGTCATGGTAGACCTAGGTTACATTGAAACTGTCGTTCAGATTCAGTACAATGAAGTCATCAGCGATCAGTATGTTTCTCAGCTTGCAGAGAATCCAAACTCCACATATATGCACGTTAATGATACCCCTGATGCAAGGCACTGCGATATCCTCACTACATAGATGCAGGGTTAATGAAGTTGAGGCTTTGTCCTCAACTGAACGGCGTCGAAAAATATTTTTCGACGACCTACTGTCAGTTAATTTTATAAGAATATGTCTTTTGTCTCTTCGATCTATAACGTGATGAGAAACACCTCACCACCGAGACCCTGCTAACGAAGCAAAGTTAATTTTCTGTGCGAAGGGTCAAGTGCATGCTGTACGAATATGGAGGTTGCGGCGTGTTAATTGTCTCCTTTAATATTAATCAGTGTGGCGTGATAGCAGATCTACCGAAGTCGAAACTTACAAGTCAAGCCGCAGATCAATCAATGTCATTAAATGGAAAATAATACGTGTGGTGTGAAAGGTACCGTATTTTTATCGGAAATGTTTATTTTTGAGTGGTTAAATGGAGTTATTCTGGTCATTGGACAAATAACAAAGCTCTACTCTTTGTAACGGGCATCCTTCGCTTTCAATAAGCCAGTACAAACTTCTAAGACATATAAGGTGTAAGCAGGTTCCCCGAATGACCACGTACAATTTCGTGCAGAGCATACCTTTATATTACAATAGGATCGCTGGTATAGGGAAAAGTAGGATGTAATATTAAATAGCTGACCTGCTCCGCAACAACCTTTCAATATTACTTTAAATATTGAGCTACAAGCTTCGAATGTAGCAACTCATTCGTCACCCTAAGCTCGTGTCTAGCAGAGATTGTGGTTTAATCTGTTTTTCAAGATCGCTTTCCGACCAATTAGTGTTGCAGTGTCGAGCATTATCGTCAAGGGTAACAATACATCAAGATTTACTAGGTTCCGTACATATTCAATAAATCGAATACTAAGTTTATGAGTTCATTGATGTATTTGGTGTCGATGACATGTATCGGGAGGGGGGTCAACACATTACCATAACGATATAGAAAAGGTGCACCGAGCCGAATCAGGCTAGCCGGCGCAGGCTCGCGTATGTTTAGGCGCACGAACAGTGATTCTACCTCCGTAGTTAAAGTAGATAGGTTGACTACACTATAACGGGGCACGCTCTTGCTCAGATAACTGAGCAAGGCCTTGTATTGATAACAATACAAGGGTGCGTACGCCCGACGTCACGTACACGTGGCGTGAGGAAGCGCGACCAATACAATACAGACCCGAAAGCTCTTCCTTGAGGAAAAAGTAGAACTGTTATTTAATATAGTTATATTTCTTACAAAATCATCTTTCGTCTTAATCTAACTTCATTGAACTACTGTCTCCTATGTGGGTCTTATGTCCACCACCCATTGCGCGCGTCCAGCAGCGATTGGTGATTAATTCGATTGTAAACAAGGTACATCAACCAAGAAGTGGACCCGTCCACGGATATTACCCCTAGAGGTAGTAATATTCCGACAACATCGCATTTTTCGAGTGATGTTAATTGAATATTATCAAAATATATAATGTTCTAAAATTTGTAACTTCGTACCATTTTTTTATGTAACGGGCTCACCCCATTACATACACGGTAAACTGAAGCAAAAACGAAATGGCGGGCGCTAAATAGCCAGAAATCTCCAAATTTGCGCAATGCTTTTCGAAATTGAGGTCTTGACATTACTGACTTGGTCGAGGACTTTCCTCCGCGCCGCCACATAAACTGCCGAATATATGAAGAAGAACTTATGAACCGTTTGATTCTTATGAGTCTGCAGCTCACCATGTAGGTCCTTGTTTTGGGTGACTCGAACTCCAAACAGTGGCATCAGGAGATGTATTGCATTGTTTGGGGCTGTGTAGTGGGTACGTAAACGTCGCACGTAGATGTTTTCGCGATGGTCGTTGGATATCGTGAACGATTGCAACAATCTGATGATCGCGTCAAAGTCTCTTTCACGTGTTATTGCACTCGTGATGTGTGTGGCTACTGATCATTCGGTCCAGTCGACGCGCACCTACGACATATCTAGCCTTAAGACGCTTGAACTAGTTGCTGACCGTATGGACAGCTTTCAATCCTGCCTATTCAGTCCTCAACTCGTATTTTGCGTCCGATCGACGTATCTTGTCGTACACGTCTAGCTTGGCCTGGCTGAGCAAGTAAGGAGTAGAGTGGAGACACACGGACCTCGGTCGTCGCGAGCCGAAAAGTCAGCCGAAAGAGATGACCGCGTGGGGCGATTGGGTTCACCAGCTGAACGATACCACAGCGAGAAAACGTTTTTCGCTTTTATAGCTTCACTTGCCCAACAACTCATAGTAGTGCAACAAGGTTTTGGTCGATAGACGCATCGTGCGGGAACAGCAGTATCTCCTCATGCCACACCGCGAGTAACGGAACAAACCCCTCAGCTTTTCACCACGAACGAGTGAGAGCGGCTAAACACACACAGGTCCGATTCCCAGTGTCAGTTCGCTGAGCTGATCAGCATAACTTCAACTCCGTTTGCACGAGGGACAAGCGAAGCAAAGCCATTATGCACCCAGCGTACCAATGAGTGCCTCGTCGCAACCCATTGCTCGCATCGTATCGTATCGGCCCTTCTCGTGGCGGGCGTCTGCGCTTAGGCGGGTGCTCCGCCACCCGTAAGTGGAGACTGGGCCCTGTGGCAAATCGTGGACTCGCTGGATTCGATGCTGGCCATGCCAAGTACTGCATACCCCCAACGCTGCCACGCTGCACGAACACGCGTTGAACCACGTACCTTCGTGTCCCGGGGCCAGTGCCATTTTATCCGGCCACCGGGGTCGGTTAAACAGCGTGCTGGAGAGAGCAACAGCGTTAAGTGGCCTAAAGACCAGACGCGAAGGTGGCCGCCGATCCTCTGACTACGGATCAGCGGCCATCTTTGCGTCTCGGCGCCTCGGTGCGCAGGATGACGAGTACACAAGAAAAAGAACGAGGAGGACGTCTGAGACGAGGACGGCACAGACAGTGATGGGAGATAGGCAGATCTGTCTATTTAACAGTTTACTGTTGCAAGATGTCTGTAAAGGTCCTAAGCCCGGATGGCAACGCCGGTGCTCATTTGAGTCCGGTGGTTGTACGGGGCGTGTCACGTAAAGTGACGCTCTCTGTGTGTCTGACGAGCCTGCTTTAGCCAAGAGACACACGTGTTTCGTTCGTCATCTGCCGCGGCCGCTCGAGCGGCCAGATGAACAACCCGAGAAACTCACCCATCTGCGATGGTGGCCTCCTTCAGCCGCTTGCGCGGCCCGTGGACGTGGAGTGCAATCACCGAAGTGACTGCGTGTCGTGGAGAACCCAACCCGCCGTACATCTTCTCCGAGGAGCCGCCCATCTGCGATGGTGGCCCCCTTCAGCCGCTTGCGCGGCCCGTGGACGTGGAGTGCAATCACCGAAGGGACTGCGTGGCGTGGAGAACGCCAACCCGCCGTATATCTTCTCCGAGGAGCCCGCCCATCTGCGATGGTGGCCCCCTTCAGCCGCTTGCGCGGCCCGTGGACGTGGAGTGCAATCACCGAAGGGACTGCGTGGCGTGGAGAACGCCAACCCGCCGTATATCTTCTCCGAGGAGCCCGCCCATCTGCGATGGTGGCCCCCTTCAGCCGCTTGCGCGGCCCGTGAACGTGGAGTGTGCGCTCGCCGCAGCGGCGACACGTGGCGCGGGGTACGCCTCCAGTTCGTTAAACACCCCTGCTAGGCCGCTTACGCGACCCGTCGGTCCCCTACGCCCACACTCTCGACTGCGAGTGCAGCGCGCCCGCGTCAGATCTTCGACCCCGTCGGCTCCCCAAGGGGAGGATTCCCTCCGACGTGACGGCCCCAAAGGGAAAAAAGACTGGCTTGAGCGAAACCGTGAAAATTTGGGAATCAAGCACAGACAGTGATGGAACGAACGAGAACGAATGAGGATGTGTCTGTTTTCCAGCAGTTGTACTAGCGGTGGGCTACTCACTTGGTCCAGCTGACGCCGCAGGCGTGGCCGACGGAAGCTGGAGAAGGACGGCGGAAGAACGACAATAGAAGGGCTGGTAGACGCTTGCGCTCATGTAGCTCGTGTTCGTGCAGGCATCCCGAGGAGATTGACGTCGAGGGTTGAGATCGGAATGAGCTCTCGGAGCTTCGCCTTTGTTGAAATGGCCCTTGCAGGCCTTTCATCGGGTGAGAGCTGAAGCCATCCGGATAGAGCAGTCCACACTGTGACAAGGCGACGAAGCGGAAGCGACAGAAAACGGCAGCGATCGACCGGTGCGTGAATGCCTCCGAGTCCACGCAGTGTTGAAAGGCCCGAAGGCGAGCAGCAACGAGGTGGCGAGCACATGGCTACACGCACGATCAAGCGCCCGCGCGGCCCCGAGGACGCGACGCTATGAAACGAGGAACGTCATCTGTTGCGCATGGACCCGAGTCTCATGATGGAGCCGCAAAACGTGGCGGTAGCGTCTCTGAGTTCTACAAAGAAGCACCGACGACATTAGCAGCGCCCGGTGATCGACTGCCTGTGTCCGCGCCCGAAGTGAAGGGGTACAAGGAGAGACCACGTGCGGTGGACTGGAAGCGACAAGGGACGGCACGACAGGACGCGTCGCGGTACGACGAGAAGGTTGAGGTGTCGGGGTCGGAGGGTGATGTGGCGCGGTTGAAGGCAACGGGTCGGCCCTGTGGAAACTGCGAGCCACGATGTGCGTGCCTCGATATGCACGTCGAGCCTATACTTGCATTGACACCACAAGTGGTCGTGGACCCTTTGACAAAAGTTCGTACACGACACCAAGAACGGACCTGCGAGGGTTGACTCAGTTTGCCTTTGCCGTGGCAGTGACGCGCGCTTGCACGACGAAACCTCTGTGTCAGCCATGCAGATGTCTACTCCGTCCATCGAGTGTGCAAGTTGAAGGGAGAGAAGTGTCTGTGGAGATCGAATCTGCGACACACTGTACCTCGGCCTGCAATGTACGGGCTTCAGTTACAAGCAGAATCGATAAAAGTGCAGCAGTAGACAACATGCCAAGACGACGTACTCTATGGTATTAACTAATAGAACAAAGAAAAGCAAAATTCACTCCCGTCTTATGGTCACTAGCACGATAGTCTACTCGTTCTTATCAGGAACTTCTTCTTGCTTGTCAAAGTACTCGCTATGGTCGGCTAGAATGACGTCTTGGGATGGTCGTCCGTGAGAACGAATGGTAGGAGTGTCCGAGCTCGACCAAAGCATGCACAGGGTCGTCAGTAGTTGTAGTACAGTATCCTCAGTGGAAATGCCGAACTGCTCCTCATCGACGATATTGGCTGCGTTGTGGTATAGAGGGATCAAAAAAATACTTAGTCATTAGATCCTTGTCGTCGAATACCTCTCTCGAGATGAGGTGCTGGTCCCCATATCGATCAATATATAATATCCATCCTGCAGGTATAGATTTATGCGTCTTTGCTTGCTCAAAAACATTATCCTTTGGAGGCGGACGAGGGTTTTCACGAGACGAGAGCACGGGAACTGACTCAGAAGATGTGGACGGTCGTTGTGGGGAGGCTTTGCGAGCTGGCGAGGATGGCGGGAGTGGGCGTTGGGGCCGTTCCGCGCGAAAGCCTTTCGCCAGGTTTGACCCGAACTCCTTCGATACGAATGGCTCGGCCTTCTTCACGACGGTTGGGGGTGACATAGGTAGGTGGTGCGACTTCTCGATAGGCACAATCTCTTCCGCCACTTTCACCACGATCTCCCCGGCAAGCGATGGTTCAAACATGCGCTCGTCACCCTTGTTCTCGTCCGCAGCTTCGGCCACCCGCAGTCGTTGAGCTGGGTCTTTTTCGGGATCAGCAGCGTCACGTGACGAGACCTTCGTCTCGGGCAGACCTGCAGCGCATTCGGCACTGAAGAGCAATGCAGCACTGACGCAGAGTGCACGGAGGCAGGCGATTCTCATGGTAGGAAGGAATGGCCGATGTGAGTCAGGAGCTTGTGGCGCGCAAAATGGATAATGACTCATACGGCGTGGCAGCGACCCAGACGAAATGCTCCGATGCTGCTGCTGCCGCAGATAGCCTGCTCCATGTCAGCCGACACCATGGAGTGTGCAGACGGGCGGTCTGCGTCGCAGTTGCAGAACAGGTCGCTCAGTGTCATTAATTGGCCTGGCGGCGTTTCGACCAGACACGTGGCCACTCATTGAAATGGTCGTTCCATCATGTTACGCCAATGTGAGTGGACATAAGTGTGAGCGCAGAAAGCCAGGGCGAAACTCCTGTCCGAATACTGCTTCTGTGCAGCGATGCGCATCCTTCGCTCGGGCGAGAACGCTGTAGAAAGATTTCGAGCAACCGTGCTCTTGTACAAGTAGCCAGCTCCTCATTCCTTACGGAGGTCAAGTCAATATTGCCGCTCCGAATGTAGCTCCCTCACCTGTATTGTAGCCCATGATATTTGGTCTCTGCATTGCCACATACAGATTGGTGCATACGATGACACAGCTATTACCGACCAGCCATCACTGGCACAAAGTCGTGTGCGGCAAGTGGTGTCACACACGCTGGATGTTTTTGCGGAACTCGACCCAATCCAGGATCAGCGATTCCTCGAGTCGTTGCTGTCCAGGAATCTGGTGCGGCGTCAGACGGCGACGATTTGCGCTGAAACTGACCAGCGAGAGAGAATGGATGGCCGATAGGGCGTCACCGAAGTAGAGAGAAAAGCGGACGTATCTATTTGACCTTTTACTAGTTGCGGGATATCAGATGTGGGTTAAGCCTGGTTTGCAACGCTGGTACTCCGTTCGAATCTGGTGGTTGTCCGGCGCTGGGCACCGTTGGCGATGGCTCTCTTTGTTGCCTACCTAGTTGTCGCCGACATAGCAGCAGGCGTAGGGTGGTGGTGGTCCGATGGCATATTTGCACGGTTTAAACTGTGCGCCGTAACCTCTGCATTTTTCTAAGCCAGATAGCAGCGCCGGGAGACCCGGAGGCTAATCGTGGCTGGTCTCTGGCAAAAGAGACATTCTAGGTATCGGCTCGACAAATTGGGCTGTTGGCCGAACCGTGAAACCTGATAGGGTCAGAGATCCCTAACGCTGTCGACACAGCCAGTAGTCTGTCGCATGCTATTGCCAAGGCAACAACACCGATAAAGGGGAATCCCCCTTCCTTGACGTGGGGTGCGATCGCCGAAGTAACTGCAAGGCGTGGGGAACGCCAACCCGCCGTCGTATCTCCCCTAGGAGCGCATCCATCCGCGATAGTGGCCCCCAATGGCCGCTTGCGCGGCCCCCCGGACTTGGACTGTGCGACTGCCGCAGCGGCGACACGTGGCGAGGGGTACGCCTCCCTTCCGTAACATACCCCTGTTAGGCCGCTTGCGCGACACGTCAGTCCACTGCGCCCACACCTGAGTCTGCAAGTGCAGCTTGCTCGAGGTAGACCTCGGACCCTTCCGGCTCCCCTAAGGGAGGATTCCTTCCGGAGTGGCCGCCCTTGAAGGGGAAGAAAAGACTGACTTGAGCTGAGCCGTGAAAATTTGGGAATCAGACGTGTCATGACACTTTCTGGGTATCGGCTGACGAGCAGCGGTCTCGTCTGCAACAACAGGACCGAATACATGTATCCCCTGATTTATAGGGAGTACTCGCGCAGTTTGCCACATTATTCGATTAGCGCGCTACTACTCCTCGACCCGCATCCGTCTTTCACTCGAACTTCTACGATGAGGTTTGGCTGCCACTGTGCACTCTGCATCAGTGCCGCGCTGCTCATCACAGCCAATCGTGCCTTGAGTCTCCGCGAGACAAAGGTCACGGCACCAGGCGTTCCTGATCTCGCGAACGAACCTTCTGGAAGACAGCTGGTAGCCGGTGCTACGGACGAAGACAACAAGGAAGAGCGCATGCCGCCCGTCGTCAATGTCAAAGAGTTCACCGCGGCCAGTCGGGCTGTATACGGTCTGGACGAACTAGCGTCAACTATCGCACGATCTACATCTGACAGAATCGCTGACTCGTCACGACTACCTGTATCGCATGTGGAAGCCAACCCTCTCAACGATAAGAGAGTGAAATTGTTGCTCAATGAAATGAGTAGTAATGATGCTTTGACGTTCGACGAGGGCTCTGAACGGAACCAGTATTTTCACGCTTATTTAGTTGCCAACCTAAGACCAGTGGATGCAGCTGTAGCGCTCCACCTGGGGCAGAAAGTATCGGGCCAAGAAGAAGCAATGAAGAACATTGAACAAGAGCAGTTTGCCAAGCTTTTCGCGCATGGCAAAACTCCTGATGGACTGCAAAAAGTATGGTTGAGCTCTGACAACCATAACCCAAGCGACGCACCCAGCATAAAGGCGATCATTCAAGACTACAAGAAGTACTATGATCACATGAAAACACTCGCAAAGAAGGAACAGTAGGCTAACGCGCCGACGACTTAACGATGGGAATGACATTTGCTTTTTTCACCTTGTTGTATGCAATGGAATGAGTTGTCTTTCGTTGTTGCCCTCTTTGGTATCTGCTCACATATGTTGCCGCGTGAACTGCAGTAGCTTGTGGTACAGTGCATCACAGAGTCCACGCTTGTACGTAAGGTTCCTTCTTCTTTGCTGCGTACTTGAGATGCAGAGTAGACTACCGCGTTGTGCTCGCAGATCTGACGTGAAGATTTGGTCGGTGCAAGCGCGCGTCAGCGCCATGGCGGGAGCAATCTAAATTATTGCTTGCAGGGCTCCGCTGTAGGGCGTGAAGGTATGTCCGGAGGTTCCCATCCTCAATTGTGGTGACGATAAGCGCCTGTCCTCGACGTGGAGCCCGTAAGTAGTAAGTGCATTGATCTTGATCAATAGAGGCCATAAAGACGCGTCCGTAGCGTCCGACATCAGCGTCTTTACTCCTCTTTCGAGTGTCGACGACTCTTCCGACGAGTCCTCAACTGCAAGTCACGGAAGTCAAAACATCGTAACCAACGCACAAGACACACAGTGCAAAAACTTCGGCGCTTGGTCCAAGGAGACGCGTGATCACGTCCTCGACAACGTACGGGCGACGTAGCAGTCAAAGCAGACGGAAAGCAGCCGAGTTGCTCGACCAGTCGTACGGCCGCCACGACGAAGAAGTACTCGAACAAAAGTAGAGACATGATCCCCGCAATGATAAGAGTACAGTAGCGACAACAACGACGCAGACTATGATCGGAACGCTGCAGCCACGACGTGGACAGACGACGGTAGTTTGGATCTGTACCGACGTCGGCTGCATGACTTGCGTCGCGAATGGCAAGACTCGGTGACTCAGTGCAGGAAGACATTCTACAATAATCCAAAGCCGGTTGCCGATTTCGTGGATGCCAAAGTAGACGAAAGAGAAGGAAGAGACATCGAGATGAAAGGTCGGCGAGAACGCGATGAAGAAGAGAGCGAAGTAGAGAATCGAGTGACGTATTATTCGCCGTGGGACGTGACAGAGACGTCGTCGGGGCTTCTGGTGCCAAGTTACGTGCTGACGCAGCTGCTGCCCCACCAACGCGAGTGTCTCGAGTGGCTGCACAAACTGCATGAACGAGGAGTTGGCGGGATCTTGGGAGACGATATGGGGCTTGGCAAAACCATCAGCTAGCCTCCTTTGTGGGATCGCTGCATCTTGCGCGAAGATTTCGGACAGTGCTGCTGTTGTGTCCAGCGTCGGTGTTGTTGCAGTGGGTCCGGGAGCTGCACAAGTGGACGCCTTGGATACGGGTCGTGCTGCTCCATGCTTCGGGGACAGGCGTAAACACGTCATCGTCGAGTGCGTGTTACGAGCAGCTAATTGAAGAGACGTTTTGCTACGAAAATGACGTGTCGGGCGGCGAAGAGGGGGAGGAAATGGGCTATCGTGAAAGGGGAGAGCACGCACCGACAGGCGGTGGTGTGGTCATTAGCACGTACGAAAATGTGCGACAGTATCAGAGCTTGTTTCTCACGCGCGAATGGGACTACGTTGTGCTGGACGAAGGACACCGGGTTCGCAATCCAGACGCTGAAACAACGCTTGCTTGCAAACAGCTGCGCACGATACACCGCATCATTCTCTCTGGTACACCGATTCAGAATCGACTTCGAGAGCTTTGGTCGCTGTTCGACTTCGTTTATCCCGGACGTTCGGGCACATTACCAACGTTCGACGATGAGTTTGTGCTGCCCATTCGAGCGGGAGGATACGCGACAGCAACTAAGATGCAGGTGTTGATGGCATACAAGTGTGCACTGTCCCTGAGAGATCTCATCCAGTCGTTCCTGCTCCGTCGCACGAAACAAGAAATCCTGACGAACGGCGCTGACAATGGGATGGGTGCACTGCTTCCTGGCAAACAAGAGCAGATTATATTTTGCCGGCTCACGGTGAGACAGCGTGCGCTGTATAGGCGCTTCCTGTCCTCGTCCGAAGTCGCAAAGGTGTTGCGGCGAGACAATCGGCCATTCCGGGCCATTTCTGTGCTACGACACATCTGTAACCATCCAGACTTGCTAGCATCGTTTAGTGATGGAAGACTGGCTGACAAACAACGACAAAGTTTTGAGGACGACGACGAAGAAGAGGTTGCTAGCATTGCTGGATCGCTAAACGAAATGGACGAAGGCAAAGAAGAAGATGGAAGCGACGAGGCGTTTGGCGCTGCATCGGCGAGCGGGAAAATGGTTGTGCTACAGAAGGTGTTGTTGTTGTGGAAGGCGCAGGGTCACCGAGTGCTGATCTTTTCACAAAACGCGCGGTACGCTGGACATCTTAGAGCGCTTTATGGATAGGCTTAGCCTCACGTACACTCGTCTCGATGGTACAACGGGTGTACAAGAGCGGCAGCAGCGTCTGGACGCTTTCAATGCCCTCGACAGCAACCCCTTCGCGTTCCTACTGACAACTCGCGCTGGTGGTATTGGTGTGAACTTAGTCGGTGCTGATCGTGTCGTGGTGTTCAATCCTGACTGGAACCCGTCCACGGACGTCCAAGCTCGCGAACGAGCTTGGCGCATTGGACAGCAGAAACCCGTGACGGTGTTCAGACTTATCACGGCTGGAACGATCGAAGAGAAGATTTATCACCGGCAGATCTTCAAACAGTACCTTACTAGCAAGGTGCTGCACGATGCTAAACGTAAGCGGTGTTTCAACAAGCACTCGTTGCGAGAACTGTTTGTCCTAGGGGACGAAGAAGAAGAAAAGGATGGAGTCGCAGAAACAAACGAAATGTTTGTTGCTGGAAACGTTGTGCGACCTGCTGAAGCGATTGACGATTACCGCGACGATGGGCAAAGCAGAGACGACAAAGTCGACACAGAGGCTGGAGATAACGACATCGTATTGAAGCAGTTATTTGACGGTGGTGATGTACGCGGTGTGTTTGATCACTCGTCGGTGGAGTCGGATGGCGTGCAGAACCAAGAAGCAGATCTCGTGGAGATGGAGGCAACAAAGATTGCTCAACGAGTACTGAGTGCCCTTCGAGCGTCTAATGCTCTCGTGCGGCAGCAGCGGGAAACTGTGTATACGCCAACGTGGACGGGCCGGTCGGGCGCTGCTGGCGATCCGTCGCAACGGCGGCAGCAGCCATCGATTGTGTCGCGGGGTAAACCACAAGGTCGAGGTCGGGGTCGTGGACGGGGTGGGCGTAGTAGCAATGGACTCTCGTCGCGGGAGATGCTTGCGAGGATCCGACAAAGACGCGATGGCGTCGCGGCTCAGGCGACGTCCGTCCCGCTCCAAGCCGATTCGGGAGCATCGAGTGCTTGTGCAGTCTTCTGGCAGCTCGGCCCCAATTGGCGCCAGTGAGATGGCGAAGCGTTTGCACTCGTTTCTTGCCGCAAATGCAGCGACAGGCGTGACCACTGAACGGCTGTTGGGGACTTTCGGCGACGTTGTTGGGCCCAAGGACAAACTCGTGTTTCGACACGTCTTACGTGACATGGCGGTCTGTCGCGGTCGTCGATGGACTCTGAAAGCTCCAGACAGCAGTGCTGACTCTTCGTAGCACTGGATTCCGTGTGGTCGGTCAACAGTGCGTTGAACACCGTTCAGGAGCTGGTCAGACTTGCGCCTGTCACATATATGGGTTTTTCACAGATGAGCTGTTTCGACGTGGGTTTTTTTCCACACAGGAGCGCTCCAATCGCAAGACGGCAACTAAGTCTTGCATCTCCCTGAGTTGAATGGCATCTGGTACACTGTGCCGCGCGTGTTGCACCATTTAGAAACGAGCTTTAGAAACCATATTCGGCCACGAGTCTCTCTGCTCGACCGCGGATGGCTCGCTCCCGAGACGTCGCGCGGCGGCGCAGCTCTCGCTCCCACGAGCGTCGTGTCTCGCCTTCTGCACATCGCAGACGAAGCCGCAGCAATTCACGATCCAAAATAGACTCTCGTCGCAGTCGCACCTCGAGTCACTCGTCCAGGAGCTCTTACCAAAGCAGCAGCTCCCGTCGCAGTCCCGGGCGTCTCTTTGCGTCGCGTTCTCGTGCCTGTACTAGCGCTGATGATCTCCGTTGCGTGTCAGGATTAGGTCTCGATAAACTGGCAGCTGAGAAGCGTCGAGAGCGTGAAAGTTGCCGCTCGAACGGATCAAACGTTGCTTTGGATCGAGAGAAACGCGAGAAGTTGATGGAAAAGTCCCAATCGGCACGTCAAAAAAGCGCAGCTGGCTTGGAACTAAGTGAATGGGACGAGCCGGAACAATTGAAGAGTGTGTCCATGTATCAGGAGGACAAAGGGCAGTCGGAGACGCCCACAACGCGCGGCAACAGCAGGTCCACGTCGACTCAAAAGGACGAAGCAAAGAGGGAACTTGGAACCAAAACAGAGCAGGAAGATCGACGTGGTAGAACCAGGAGTAGAAGTAGCACGAGCACGCGGGAAGACGGGATGGATGTGGTGTCTCCTACGGGACTGAGTCATCGACGTCGAAGAGGGCGCGTGGAAGCTCCTAAGAAAGAATACAAGGACGAAGTGGAAGAGAATTTCGATCGGGAATTTTACTTGAATGACGACGCTGGTGGCATTGAGTTGCATGAAGGACATGCGTTTCTTGGTAGCGCGAAGAAGTTCAAGGCATTGGAAGAACAGTTGGAGCAGACGAGAGCGCGAGGAGATAACAAGCTTAAAGGCATGTCAGCGAAAGCGTCAGCGCTTTCGGCGGATCAGGAGGCGTGGGAGAAGAACAGGCTATTGACGAGCGGTGTCGTCATGTCTGGACGCGTAGATACGGATTTTGACGATGAATTGGACGCGAGAGTGCAAATCATGGTGCATAGTACGAAGCCACCGTTCTTGGATGGTCGAGTGGCGTTTACGACACAGGTGGAGGTAGTTGCGACAGTAAAAGACCCGACGTCGGATATGGCAGTTTGTGCGAGGAAAGGCAGTGAGCTGCTACAAGAAGTACGGGAACAGCGCGAGAGAAACAAGATGCGGAAACGATTTTGGGAAATCGGTGGCTCGCGCATGGGCGACGTTATTGGCGTGAAAGCAGATCCTGGATCTGGAGACGAAGAAGACAAGCAGCAAGATGCGGATGAGGAAAACTACAAACATAACTCGCAGTTTTCGACCCATTTGAAGAAGCAAAAGGCTGTAAGCGTTTTTGCCAAGACCCGCACCCTTCGTCAGCAGCGTGAATTCCTGCCGATCTTTCTCTGTCGTGAAGAATTGCTGCAAGTAATTCGAGAAAACCAGATTGTGGTGATTGTTGGCGAAACTGGTTCGGGCAAGACCACACAACTGACGCAATACTTGCATGAAGAAGGATACTCGCAGTTTGGTACGATCGGCTGCACGCAACCGCGTCGCGTAGCAGCCATGTCAGTAGCACAGCGCGTTAGCGAGGAAATGGAGGTAAAGCTTGGCGAAGAGGTGGGCTATGCTATTCGATTCGAGGATCTGACGTCGGACAAAACTATCATCAAGTATATGACAGAAGGCGTACTCTTGCGCGAGTCACTGCGCGAAGCTGATCTGGATTCGTACTCGTGCGTGATAATGGACGAGGCCCACGAGCGCGCTCTCAACACGGACGTGCTCTTCGGCATTCTTCGCAAGGTGGTCCAGCGCCGCAGTGACTTCAAGCTCATTGTGACATCGGCTACGCTAGATGCCGACAAGTTTGCGCGCTTCTTTGGCGGGGTGCCGATGTTTACTATTCCTGGTCGAACGTTCCACGTGGATACGCGCTATGCTAAATCACCAAGTGATGATTACGTGGACTCGGCAGTGAAGCAGGTAATGCAAATTCATTTGTCGCACCCGCCAGGTGATGTTCTGGTCTTTATGACGGGACAAGAGGACATTGAGGCAACGTGCTACGTGCTGGCTGACCGGATGGGAAAGCTCGATGGTGCGCCACCACTCTTGGTTCTCCCTATGTATTCACAACTACCGACAGACTTGCAAGCAAAGATCTTTGACGCCTCGGACGTTCGAAAATGCATCGTGTCGACCAACATCGCCGAGACGTCGCTCACTGTGGACGGCATCAAGTATGTCATCGATGCAGGTTTCTGCAAAGTCAAGGTTTACAATCCCAAGATCGGTATGGATGCGCTACAGGTGACTCCGATCAGTCAACAGAATGCCAACCAGCGCGCAGGTCGTGCCGGTCGAACAGGTCCTGGTGTAGCGTACCGCTTGTATACGCAGCGGCAGTTTGTCAATGAGCTGCTAGAAGCACAGATTCCGGAAATCCAGCGAACGAATTTGGGTTATGTGGTGTTGCTGCTCAAATCACTCGGCGTCGCCAACTTGCTTGAGTTCGATTTCATGGATCCGCCACCACAGGACAATATCATCAACTCGATGTATCAACTATGGGTGCTCGGAGCACTCGACAATACTGGTGAGCTGACAAAGATGGGCAAGAAAATGGTCGTCTTCCCATTGGATCCACCGCTGGCCAAGATGCTGTTATTCAGTGAGCAGTTGAACTGCTCGACCGAGGTGCTTGTGGTGGTAAGTATGCTGTCAGTCCCAAGCGTCTTTTTTCGTCCGAAGGATCGGGAGGAGGAGAGCGACGCAGCCCGAGAAAAGTTTTTTGTGCCTGAGAGTGACCACTTAACGCTGCTGAACGTTTACCAGCAGTGGGAATCGAACCATCGCTCGGCCCAATGGTGCTCGGATCATTTTATCCATGCAAAAGGGTTGCGCAAGGCCCGGGAAGTGCACGAGCAGCTGGCTGATATCATGAAGCAGCAGCGCGTACGGCTTCGCTCATGTGGTGGACGCTGGGACGTTGTACGAAAGGCGATTTGCTCAGCGTATTTCTACAACTCTGCTCAGATCAAGGGCATCGGCGAGTATGTGAACATGCTGACGGGCATGCCGTGCAACCTCCACCCAAGCGCTGCTCTGTTTGGCCTTGGCTACACGCCAGACTTTGTGGTTTACCACGAACTGATTTACACGAGCAAGGAGTACATGCAATGCGCAACAGCCGTGGAAGGTGAGTGGCTTGCCGAGCTCGGGCCCATGTTTTTCAGCGTGAAGGAGTCGTTCAAGTCGCGCTTGCTCAAGCGTATGAAGGAAAAGGAGGAAGCGATTGGGATGGAAGAGGAGATGGAAGCCTCGCTGTGCGCCAAAAAGAAAGAAGCAGACAATGACATGGGTGATCGGCTCGCTTCGAAGAGCCGCCAACACAAGAAGCAGCGGATGGCGGTCGCTGAGATCGGTCGATCGGATTCTGTTTGTTCTAAAAAGACGGCAAGCCGTCCCCCTCGCCCTCGCCGCTTTGGCTTCTAGGGCTGCTGGATGGGTAGTGTCTTGCGCGAATGGAGTGCAGCAATGCTGTGGTTGGTTTCGCGATCATTCACATGTGTCGTTTGAACAGCTGCTACAGCAACATGCTCGGCACTTGTGGAATTGAACGATCGATTGCTGTGCTATGTCACAAACCGCAAGCGTCACATAGTGCATCATGTCGGGAGTGCCCGACAGTGCAAACGACTAGTGGCCGATGTAAATGTATGCCTTGTGCAGACAATGGTCTCTCGATCATTGTTATCGAAACTTGGATCAGCAGCAACAATGTTGCAACGGGCCACATGGACTTTGTACCCTCGAGCCTTTGCCTCGTGGGAGTGCGCAAGGATAAACATACATACGCTGCGCATGAGACGGTTTGCTGCGCTCTGTTAGTGCAGAGCTTGGAAGGATGCACAAGACGTGCGCGCACGCAGTATAAGAGATGTAGCGAACTAGCACGACAATTCGTCATTGCGTGAGCAATGTAGTGGGGTCAAAGAAAGACAAGACGAGATGCACGAGAGCAGTGCAGTGTGTGGAGCGTAAACGGTCTTTTCACCCTTATGCTATCAAGCGGGAGACGCAAAAACGTATCCAGCGACGTACCTCCCACGCACCTGTCTCTGGCTGCAGACACATCGCCTTCGCTAAGACCTGCACAAACATGGCGCTAGTCGATCTCTCTGCCCTAGTCGAACCGATGAGACGCGTGAGGATCACTCACTTCCAGCATTGGCAGCACGACCCTTCCTTCTCCTTCCTTGGCCACATTGTACACCATGCAGACAAGCAAGAACCAAGCTAACATACTTTATTACCACCCACATCGCTTGCTATCTCCTCCCTCTCTCTCTCTCTCTCTCGCTCTCGCAAGCGTTCACAGCTCCAGTCACCAACATCGAAGCGCGGGGTCCTCTCGTCTCGCCTAAACACACGTCCGTCTACTGTTTGCGGCACTGTTAGATGCGTCGTGCACGTCGTCTACTCGAGCTTGCCCAGGATGTCCTCGTCACGGAACAAAAAGAGCTCCTGGTCGCCCAACTTCACCGAGCTGCCGCCGTACTCGGGCAGCAGCACCTTGTCGCCCACGGCGCTCTGGGCCGGGATCAACGTGCCATCAGGGGCACGGGCACCCGGTCCCACCGCCACTACTTTGCCCTCGTTCGGCTGCTTCGAGTCGGCGTCGGGGAGGTAAATGCCGCTCGCGGTCTTGGCGGCAGCTTCGAACCGCTGGACCAGCACGCGGTTTCCAAAAGGAATCAGTTTGCGAAGAGAGCTCTGTGTTGTACATGGTTTACAGTGTTAGTGTAATGCTATGGCAGAGGCGACCGGGCCACAACGCGGGACAAGAGCGATCGCTGCGAGTTGGTGGACGAGACGCACCATATTACGTGCGACTTGTGGAATTGCGAGCAAAAGACAAAGTGAGCTCCTCGTCAAACGTGCGGCAGCGGTTGTCGCGACCTTCGAGCGACCTCACGGGCGCAGGGGGCACCGTGCGGCGGACCTGCGAGACTTGATTGTACCAGTCGGCGTGGTTGGGATGTGGCGCACTGCTTTCGTGCGACATCACCGACCCTTCGATCGATTGTTCTGGAAACACGCAGCTTCTTTATCACCTCGTTTGGCGCTTGTTCATTTTCTGCCACTCACGAGCTGCAACGTTCTGTGTATCGCTTCAACTGATTGTTGGACGGCATTCCCATGTGCTCAAAGATCGGTTTTCATCGGTACCACTACTGACCTGCGAACGTGTTGGAACAGTGACGTTGCAGGGCAACAGACGACTCGAGATCGATCTTTTGACGTATGATGGCTACACATCGCACGGAAAAGGTTCAAACCACTTACCGCTGACTCGTTCGCTTCAGTAGAGTGCGAGTGTCTGTCGACTACGACCAAAGCCACGTGGGTCTACTGTGGCACGACGTTCGGGCACAGGATGTGGACACAAAAACGCTACATGTGAAACTACTCTGTTGACTGGAAGTAGACCAGCGCGGGGCCGCGTCTTTTTCTAATGATCTTCAACACATTGGGACGCTGCATCGAGACGATGATAGGGGAGTGCTCGCACTGTTGCAGATGGTCATTGACACTGTTGTCATCCGTTCGTCATCTTGGTCCACGTGTAGGGTAGTGGGGATATGCAGCGTTTAGGATATCCTAAGATGGACTTATGAGGAATGGTACATGCGGTCAGTATTTTTGCGTGCACGACGTCCACCCGATGCCTCTTAATGTGGTACAACGAGCACACTGTGTCGGTAGATACGTCGTGCTACGAATACGGTAAGTAGATGCACATAATACATACACGCGCGAGGGAGTAGAGCTACTGGCAGCATCGAATCACGTTGTTTCTTGTACTGATCGAGACGTTCATGGACCCTTTGCATCTCCCGATACGCCGTCCCTTTTCCGAAGTTCACTCGTATAATTCGTGATCGAAATAGTAGCACATGTCAGCAAGAACCTCGTGGCACATTGCACCACGACAGCGGACGTCGCCTCACGCCGCAACCAGCTGAACGGGTCAGTCGACCTTTGGCATATCGCAGCGGCCACCGGAAAGCTATGCGGGTTTTCCATCCATTGTTGTGCCCTTTCGAGTGAAAGGAGCGACACTTAGCATCCATCACAAGTATCCATCCCTTGGTCCGACTGATCAAGTGGAGGTCGAACTTCATAGTGAGAAGACACAATTCGTTGCCACAAAGAGATCAGGCGACAGTCCGACAACCCCGAACAGTGGATCACCATGTGCGTAGTAGGTAGGTGGAGCTCGGTCACCACGAAACGTGTGGCATATCGAAGGATAATATCGTATGGCACCGGGCGCGCTGTCGTGAAATCAAATTACTTTCTATCCCAGTCACATGACTGATCTCGTTGTGTGCTCGGTAAGGGACATCCTGATTACGTTTCCAGTTTATCGGCTCCTTACTTCCTTCCGCTTGCGGAGAGTGCACGATGCGGCCATGTTTTGTATAGCTGGAGGCAATCGGACAGCGCACAGGAAGGCCTTCATGGAAATCTTGACGATCGCGAAGGTGACAACCAATATGGCTGCAATAATGGCGAAGAATATACGAAACACGATCACTCGTCGCACTAGGCGCTGGTGCGGATGCAGGACTTCACGAACAGCTCGGCTGCACATCCACAGGTTCAACTGACGCGGTACCAGTAGTGCAAACCGAACGGCTTTCAGGAGGAACAGCACGCGCTCAACCACCCAGTGCGCAAGGCAACGCCGCAACATTCGGATCTGCTCTGGGACGGGACTCGTGACAAAACAACTAGTGGTTACTGTCCTCCTAGAATCACGTGCTTGTCAATTCATAAGCTCTACGTCATCGGACGAAAGGTCTCGTCAGTCGATACTATCTTCGTACGAAGGAAGCACACAGTCGGTATGTATAACGGACGGGACAGGTCTAGCCATTCGAGGACTCCTTGTCACGAAAACATGTTTTACCTTTGCAGCAGTTGTTCTAGCCCACCCAGCTCCAGTATCTCGTGGTCATTATCCCATACGTTCACATTCATTCCTCTGACGCGCATGCTTTACCTGGTCGTTTACCACGATGCACGACGATATCGATCTCATCTGACGCAAATAGCAATCGACCGGTTCGCTTGTCAGTATATGGCAAGCTCTACGGCAAGTACATGCGCAGTATATTGTCAGGCTCACCGTTCGGACAAGCTCGATGTGGCATATCTCGCGGTCATTATGTGAAACTTATGCACGGAGACGTGTCAAGCAGATTGTACTCGTACATGAGAATGAGACCACCATATCGTCTCCGAACGTTCGTGCTACACAGCAATTTTGTTTGTTCTGCGTTGACTCCATCCTTCTCATGCAGTCGTTGCTCGTCGTCAGGTGTCCTATTCGCCGTTGCCATGCACAATTGCGATTGAAAGCATGGACTCAGTCAAGCACTTCAGTACCGATCTTTTCGGTGGAGACGAATCCATTTGCGCGACAACGTTTGGAAGCTTCTCGTTCTACAGGCACTGCTTTTGTCGCGATGACTATGCGCTACCTCCCGTGGCGTTGCATGACTACAGCGACAAACGTATGATCATTCGTGATGTGCCTCTTTGCTCGTAGCAACTGCCTTGCAAGTTTCTCACCTTTCCATATCTCCACGGCGCACTGCTTGAAACGATAACATACTCGACGAGACACGCAATTGTGCTGTGATTCCATGCATGGTGACACATGACGACAGTGATTTATACCTGTGTGCATGTCGTGCGACGACTCGATCAGTAGACTGCCCCCTCACAGAATCAGAGGGGGCAGAACTTAACCATGAACATTGCGCTAGCACGATGGTGGGTTCATCAGCCGGTGAACTGATGGATTTCATCAAGTTGGTCGTTGCACTGTACGACAGGTAGCAGCAATACATAGGATCAAGCGTCGCTACCTGTTGTAGGCGATGGACAAGTAGTAGGCGGTTCAAGTGGCGACCCGCGTGGATGGCTCAATGCTCGCGGCGACATTAAAAGTCGCATTTTTATCCATACGAGTTGTCTGGTCAAGACTTTGAATCCTGAACACTTGTGCCGAAAGAGCTGACACTTCAGTGAGCGCCCTATCACTTTTGCATGCAGCTCCGTCCGACGCCGACGGATTGAGCAGAGACAGTCTGAGCTTCAAGAAGTGCGCCCCCGGTGCTTACCACCCAATTGCCATCCACCTACTCGTCAACGTCTCATCTGTTGCCATTGATCACAGGACAGGATGGACCGCCGTCGATCGGATATACACAGGAAGCTCGCGGGTCAGCGGTTGCCCTATTCTCAGATGCGTTTTGCTCGCGGGTCAGCGGTTGCCCTATTCTCAGATGCGTTTTGCTCGCGGGCCAAACGAGCGGTACGCACAGATGTTGGCGACGCCCGTTTGACTCGCCGTTGTTGACACCAACTCGGCGGGCTAAAACGACGACTAGTGCTACCGACTCGATGTCGAAAATAGGGCACTATCCGTTCGGCGCGGGCCTCGACCGCTTGACATTGTAAGTAATGTATTCACTCCTTCGCGGATAAACGACACCAACACAGTCGACTAAAACCAGTCACTTGAAGAGCAAAACGTCGAAAACCGAGCGGTCGGTGCGACTGACGTTGTGTGGTGCACACACTGCGCCCCCACACTGCGCCTCATGACGTCGGACCGCGCCGAGCTCGAGACGGCTGTGCTCCAAGCGCTCGACTCGCTCTACAACACGCGCGCGACGGACCCGCAGGCGACACAGGCAGCCGACACATTCCTGCGCGGGTTCCAGCTCACGCCCGCGGCGTTTGCCGTCTGTACGTCGCTGCTGGACCGATCGCTGGCGCGCCCCGAGCCGCAGGTTCGAAGTGGGGCACTTTCTCCGGACAGCGTGCCAGTGGTCTTTTTTGCTGCCCAGACATTGGCTAAAAAGCTGCGGCGGGCGGTGGCCAATGTGGACGCTTCGTTCTGGACGCAGCGCATCGTAACCTGGTTATGCGGCCGTACCCACGTGCCCAAGATGGTGGGTACACAGCTGCTGCTCGCTCTTGTCGCAGCGTTGCCGCATCTGCCTGCCCAAGAGCTAAACACGAGCGTTCGTCACGATGCGTCGGTCGTGTTGGGTCAAGACATTGTCACGTTGGTCCGAGAGGGATCCGCTCAGTGTGCGGGACAGAGTGTCGTGGGGTACGCACTGGTCCACTTGGCCCAACTTGGCGTACCCCCAATGGTACTTGCTGAGTTTCTGCTGCTGCTGGCTGAAGAAGTGGGCGCTCTGACCGAACGCAGTGCTCGCCAGAGGATGCAGAACGAGGTCGACGTCTGGGCACCCGTCGTGATGGGCAAAGTGCTGCCTCAATTGATGCACGAAGCCAGTACCGTGACAAGCAGCAGCAGCAGTTCTTCACATGCACTGGAGACACAGGAGACGGTGTTGCGTGCCTTGACGAGCTGGTTTGGGTACGTCCGCGTCCCTGCTGAGGTTGTGGTTCGCAATCCATTGTTGCACTCGTTACTGGACTTTTTAGGCCGCGACGAGTTGTTTGACATTGCTGTGGATCTAGCAGTGGAAGTGGTGAAGTCGTGCTCGCACGAAAAAGAGGTGGTGCAGTGGCTGGCTCCAAGGTTGTTGTCGTTACGGGGAGCGTTTGCCGCTGCAGCAGAAGCCGAAGACGTGGACTCGTGCCTGGGGCTTTGTCGCATTTTTACGGAGATGGGCGAGTCGTATCTTGAGTTGCTGCTGCAACAACATGGAGCTGGAGACGACCACGTGGCTTTAGTGGATTTGCTGCTAGACTGCATGGGCTACCCGGATGCTGATGTAGCTGATGTGACGATCCCGTTTTGGTTCCGACTGCTGGAGGAGTTGCAACGGCGTGCTGCGCCTGCACTTGTGGCGCAGTACAAACCACGGCTGGAGAGACTGGCGGGATTGTGCATGCAAAAGCTGCAGTTCCAAACAGAGTTCTTGACGCTGCCTATCGACAGACAACAGGACTTCAAGGCGTTTCGACAGGAGCTTGGCGACATCTTGCGTGATTGCTGTCAGCTGCTAGGTGTTGAGGCAGTCTTGCAGCATTGTGTGAGTGGGTTGAAGCTGATCTTCCAGGCGCCACCTGAAGCGAGGAGCTGGCAAGCCGTGGAAGCACATTTGTATTGCTTTCGATCGATTGCACGTGAAGTCGAGAAGAACACGACCCACGCACAGGCCTTCGACGCACCGATTACGCTGATATTCCAGTACCTCCAGCACTCTGCTGACCACCCGGCGGTCTGCTACACATCTTGTCTAATCGTGTCGCGCTATGCAAAATGGTTGCGCGCGCATCCTGCGGCGCTTTCGACTCAGGTGCAATTTCTTAACACTTGCGTGACCAAAAGCGCGGAGAGCTCTCTTTTCTCCGAATGGAAGGTTGCACGAGCAGCTGCGTCGGCTGTTCGTGCTCTGGCAATGGACTGCTGGTCGATTTTGGGAAGCGATATTGTAGCCTTCTACCAGCACATCGAGCAGCATGACGTTATGGCCGTTGAGGACCAAGTGTTGATTCTTGAGGGCATCTGTGCTGGCGTCGCGGCTTCCGAAGATATGTCGTGCATCCTCTCCGTGCTAGATCAGGTGATGAAGGGCATTGGCCAGCGACTAGCTGCTCTGTTTGCCTCGGCGTCTGCTAAAGATCATGTGGGTGTCGCACTGAACGAGCTCTTGCGGATCATGAGTATTTACGAGTACCTTGTAATCAGGAATGCGCACGGAGAGAAGCATCCACTGGTGATGCTCACGGAGCAGCTGTGGCCGCTCTTCAACCAGACGCTAGCCTTGTATCGTGGTCACGATGAGCTGGTGGAGCTCGTATGCCGTTGTTATAAGCGTATTCTTCGCACTTGTGGCGAGCAAATTGCGCCTTTGTTGCCACAGCTTGTCAACAACTTGCTGGCATTTTACCAAGCAGAGCCCAAGTCTTCGTATCTGTACACTGCGAGCATGGTGTTAAAGTTCTTTTCGCATGACCACGGGCAGAGCAACTCAGCGGAGATGGACACTCTGTTTGCACATATGCTGTTTACGTTGATCGAGACGACGACGCCCATTTTTGGGTGCATGAATGATATGGAAGCGCGTCCAGATGTGGTGGAAGAGTTTTTTTTCCTCATGGAGCGTGCTGTGCGATGTGTGCCGCAAGTGCTCGCTGCTCCTGTACCATCTGCTTCGGATGGTTCTGGACAAGTAAATCAGCCACTAATGATAAGGGTGTTCTCGTGTGCGGTATCAGCACTTGGCCTCTCGCACAACGACGCTAATAAGGCAGTGCTGTGTTTTTTGGAGCAATTATACTTGCAGTCTCAAACTGGCAACTCGCGCGTGAAACTTATCTCATTGTGTTCGTTGAATAGCGACGTGCCCGGGGACAGCAACAAGATGTTGGTCAACTATCTGCTGCGAGGTGTTGTCCTGGGTGCCATATCGCCTGTACGAGTGGACGCAGACTACGGATCCGTGGCGGGAGTAATGATGCAACTAGCGAAAGTTGACGGTTCGCAGTTACAGCAATGGATTGCTGAATGGTTCGAGCAAGCCACGGCGGGAACGTTTGCTACCGCGGTGGTCAATTTCTTGACACCCGAAGAGGTACTGGAGTTCCAAAGTGAACTTTTTAGCGCTGCTAGCGAACGTGCATTCCGGCGTACCATCCGTCATTTCGGTAAACTTTGCGCTTCGCGGAACACGTTGGTCAAGGCTTGCTAGCGCCAGTGAGAAGCAACGGGCGCAACACGTTATTCCGATCAATGCGGGACATCCTGGCTCAGGTAAGTCATCTCGATGCGAGCATGTGCTAACGTCGCTGTCTTGTTTGTATGGGAATTGTCGGTCGAGAACAAGCGATAGCAGAAATACTCTGGTGAACGCCTGTGGTACATGCAATGAGTTGGCGATCATCGTTTCATTCAACTACAGGCCCTTTTTGCTTCCTATCGTTGCAAAGTGCGTCACTTGGCTCACTCGTGATTGGCACGGGATGCGTCTTCCGACGGCAACGGACACAAATGACGTAGATGGAAGTCACTGGAACATGGCTGGGCTCCTTCATGGCATCAGCGCTGATCTCATCTTCAGTTGTAGATGCTGCGTCGTCACCAGCTTCGTTGACTCCCTCGCGCCTTCTGCGTGATCGCCAACCGATGTTGGTGACGAGGTAAGATTCGCGACTCCTTTTTCCAAGTTTGTTGCTCTGGATCGGCGGCACCGCCGCGTGAGCTGCAGCGTGGACGTCACCAATTGTGCGTCGCAGTCCAGCTGTATGGCAGCACTATTGATCGGTATTCCTGGAATGGCTCTGCCATGTCATAGGATGTCGAGTCGACGACGACGTGAGGTCTCCGACTTGTTGCAGGACGGCGCTGGTGCAAGTGGCTGTGGCTATCATGAACGGTGCTCGTCCATGTGCGTCACTGTTCGTCGTGCATCGGCTCCATTCACCAGCCGTGAGGTTATGGCTGGTGCAGCATGACCCGTACCGCACCAAGACACGCGTTCCGTACAAGACGTGACAGCCTTTCGATTGCAATGCATCAGCAAAGGGGTTCAAGGCATCGCGGGGTTGAGTCACACCACCCCGCGAGTCGGCACTCGATATGGTCACAATTATATCTGCTGGGGTTTCGACGCTTGTTGGGAAAAGAGACGCACTTGTCGGTCCAACTCGCGGCGGACTCGTAATGAACGCTCCTCGACCCACTTTTTTTCTGGATCGACACATGGCAGCAACCGATAACTCCCTTGGCCTTGACGTCAAATGGACCTACTGCCAGTGCAACAAGTGTCGCCAACTCGATCCCAGCTCCACTCTCGTTGTCGCGTGCTGTAACTCGTCTCTTCGTTTCGACGGCAATCCTCTCTTTGCTCTGTCCATTCCTTTCTAGCGCCCGTTTACTACTGAGGCACAAGTTAAGACCTCCTCCTGCTGTCCTGACGAAAAGCGTTCATCGCCGTCGAAACGTTTGGACGCAAACGAAACGATCGATTGCGACTGCGTTCACTCACTAGCGCACGTCCATTTTGCAGCAGCTCGAGCCGGTGCGAACTACAGTTCGATGTCAAACGTAGAAGCGGATGTTTATGAAGAACCAATCGAGACACGTAAGTGATACAAAAGGGTACTACTATTCTTCTTCTTCTTTTTATTATTTCTATTATTATTATTGTTATTGTTCCTACAGTAGCAGAAGATCCGCAAACGAGACGAGTGCGAAGCCATCGCGAGCTTTAAAGCAGCTCGAAGTGCCATGAAGAGCCTATTGCAACTTTCGGGTAAGCAGCTGATCCATTCAACTCATTGCGTGCGTTTTCACACGGCACATGTCCGAGCTCTAACATCGTATGTGACCTTTTTGTGCTGTCCGTGACAGTGGTCCTGCTGGCTGTGGTGCTGATGTGCTTGACGTGGTACACGACGCTCATGCCCCAGTGGCTCACGCAGTCTGGCGAGCGGAACGAGACCGTCTACTACTCGCAGGGAATGGGTCTCTGGCTCAATTACACGGAACACGTGGGCGACGCGAACTTTGAGCCTGGAAATTCGCTGTGGGTCCCACCTCAAGAGAGCGGAGCAGATACCTATAGCTGGCAATGGTACGTACTCCATGATGTAGAATCAAACGAACCGGAAGCGGACAGCTGACGTGACATGTGTGGACATTGCTGTGCGTGTGGTAGCGCTGCGCAACAGACGTTCTGTGCAGAGGCAGTGGGGGAGTTGCACAAACAATATTGCCAGGTGATGGAGGCCTATTGTGGCATAGCTATGACTCTGTTGCAGCTTTTGCTGTCGATGATGGCGGGCGTGGGTGTGGTCGTGGTGATCTGGTCGATCCATCTGATCACCACGACGCACTGCACGATTGCAGACTCGTATCTCGTTCACTTGTGCGTGTCCAATGGTGTCGGTAGTTTGGCAGCGGTGATTGTCTGGTACTTGTTCGTCTTTCGGTTCATCATCAACTCGACGTTCTACCAGGACCAGTACAATCGCTGCTCGCAGAACGACGCCGGGCGAAACTGTTGGCAGATTGGAATCTGTGTCTACTTCGTGATCGCTGGAGGTGTGTTGTATCCGGTGCTTGCAGTGCTCGTGCTTTTGCACGTGTCCAACAAGTCCAGGCAGTTTCAAAAGCTACTGAGCCAAATGTACGAGACAACAGTGGTAGTGGAAACAGCACCGCCCGTTGTGGATATGAAGTCACACGTGCTCAACGAGGAGGCAAAGACGGTAGGGGTGGTTCTGGAGGCAAGAAAGTTTGCCAACGCGACGAGATTGGCACCATTGAAGCAGCCTTCTTCATCTGCAGTTTCCTCACTGGGTGCTTTTGAGGAAGACAGCAGAGACCGAGCGAAGAGAGGCGATGTATCGAGCACCAAGTAGCACCGTCAAGGTGTAGTTCGTGATCGTGTAACGGCAGAAACAAAGCAAATGCACGATGTCGAGATGCGATGGCCAAGAAGCAGCGATCCCAGTCGCCTGCAGTTGTGCTCCGCTAGCATTGTTTCCACTACACGAGAAGAAAAAAACACGCCGCACCAATTTGTTGCGTGCTTCCCACGACGTTTGCCTCGTTTGGTCATTTGTACATCCAGTGCAGAGCCTGCCATGATGTATGTACGTGTGTACGTTGTCGGGGCTGCAGAAAAGACATTTGGAGACACGATTGTGTCGTGATGAGCTTTGCTTTCGTGATCTCATCAATTCTTCGATACATTTCGCAGCAGACATCGTCAGGTAAAGATGAGGCTGAAAACCGACTTGAGCCATCTCGTGGGGAATCCCGACGACCAAACACTTATTTCCTGCACCGTGCAACATGTAATTGCGCTCGCTGGACCAGGAGCTTTGCGAAGTATACTGTCCGCCGTACGTCTTGTCGCTCATTCATGTCAGACTCGCGAGGCCATGGTGAGTCTCGATCCAAATTGTCAGCGTGACCTTTCAGTATGAGGTTACGGTTGACACTGTTTCGAGCTTGGACGCGTCCCATGCCTGATCAAAAGAAGAACGTTCAGCAAAAGAATGATGTAAGAGCAGGAGCACGACGTCACGTAGCAACGGGGATTAGTAAACGGGTCAACTATCTCAATCCCAGTTGGTACGTGACGTGCGATTCGCAACAAGTTTTGACTCACGAATAACTTGGGATGGTCTTGACAACGCTCCGACGACTAACAACGTAGTTTCATGCTGACTTATCTAGTCCATCATCTGCAGCTCAATTACGAAAACGTTGCGGTGTGCACGATCGCAGCTTCCTCTGCTGGGTCATGCCCAATCACTTGTAGTGGGTCTATCGCTTCAACGTGCCGAACAATCGACACCATCGAGTCTCCCAGTACCTTAGCTTCTCACTTTACTTCACGAGAATCGGCCAGTACCACTCATATGGTCGTTTGTCTCGTTCATCCAAAGGTGATGAACCTTACGAAGTGATTGCATCACTGTTCGTAGCTCACTTCTTGCTGTTTGTAGAAGACCGACACGCGGGGCACTTTGCAACATGTAATCGCAGTCCACATCTTTGCAGATACAATACGAGAAGCATTGATTAGTCGAGTGAATGTATAGTGCGTCCGTGCGATGAACGCAGCCGAGGGTGACTCAATGCAGAGTTACTGTGTACGGTGTCCCAACGCCACTGCACTCACTGGCACCAAACTCGATATATTGCATCGGCCAACCACAGCTCTCTACGCCATCTACGCCGTCTTGATGTCCGTGTGCGCAGACACAACACAGCCGGGCACCTTGAGGAACGAGTCAAAGTCGTACTTGACGTTCTTCGGACAGCAGCTCCAGTACTTGCTGGCATCGTGGAACACGGGTGCACCAACGTGGTGGCTGCACGACGCATCGCTGTTTTCAGCCACGATGTACTCCTGCTGGCAGCCGAAGTTGACACACTTTGCTTTGCCATCCATGCGCTTGGGCGGCGCGGTCGTCTGGCTCTCCTTGGCTGCCGAAACGGCCGTCACTGCGTTCGGGTTCTTCTGATTGTAGTCGTCAATCGACTTGAGCGGCGCTACAGCTCGTGGAGCCGCCACCGTCTTCTCTGCGGACGACGTCGTTGCTGCTGCATTCTCCGCTGCTGCTACGGTAGGCGAGGCTGCGAACTGCTCCTGGGGCCCCACGGTCGAGTGCCGGCCGACCCTGCACGGCTCAATCTTCTCAAAGTCGTCCCAGTCGTACACCATCTTTGACGAGCAGCACTGCCAGCCCTTTTTCATGTCATGGAACAGCGGCGGCAGACTGTGGTAGCGACACGCCTCGTCGCTGTTCTCGTCGTCAAGAAACTTTTTCTGGCATCCGTGGTTCTTGCACTGCCGATAGGCCTTTGTCGCATCAGATGCATCGCGCGTTGTTTGATTCTCTACGTACCAAAAGCAGTAGCAGCAGGACAACATCCGTCCCACAAACATTAGACACGACGTACAACGTCAATATACCACTAGTACCAGCAACATCAATAGCAATCGAAAACGACCAGACACAGCAGCCGTCGTGCTACATGCACCCGATAGAACCACAGCTACAACCACTACTGCTACTGCTACTTCATTGTTATTGAGCTTCCACGTACGCTGAACCCGCACGGGTTTGAGCGTCGACGCGCCTTCTCTCAGGTACAGGTCGTCGTACTTTTGCACGGCTTTGTGCAGCAGCTCATCGCCATAGAGCGCCGACTTGTCCTTCTTTTCCAGATGCACGTGCGCCCTCTGCAGCTCATGTTGCGGTTTCTTGCAGTTGTAGTGCTCTACAAAGAACTAGCAGAGAGCCACACAGCCCTTGTGAGTGTCACTGGTCCACCACTACTCGTGACAGACAGACAGATAGACAGACAGTCTACACAGCAGTCCACACAGCAGTCCACACAGCAGTCCACACAGCAGTCCACACAGCAGTCCACACAGCAGCACACGTACGTCCTTGAGGTAGTCCACCGTGTGGCCCGCCCACTTGGCCGGCAGTGTCATCTTCAGCGTCAGCGTCTGCGTCTCGTCTGCGTCGCTCTCGTAGTGCATGTACACCTTCTTGGGCACCGCGCCGTCGATCTTCACGGGCGTCGACATCGTCACTTGACTTGAATCGAATTGACTGCGATGGAGAGTCTGTTACGGTCTGATGGTAATTGAATAATGAGTGACCAACTGAGTGAGTGAGTGAGTGAGTGAGCGCTCGCGTCGACTCAAAAGCGCGTGAGGAGGACGAATGGTGTGGACCACATACACGACGAACGCCATTGGATGCTGTGTATCGTCGTCTTTCTCTCTCTCTCTCTCTCTCTCTCTCTTTGTTTGTTTGTTTGGGGTGGACAATGTGTGACGGTCTCAGCCCTCGCAGTCCGTAAAGTGCGTATCGCCGCTAATCAGCGGGTCGTCGTCTGTAGAATGTGCAGTCGAATGTTCGATTTCGATAGAGTCAGCGAGTTATTGGGACTGAGCAAGTGACCTATGCGACAAGTGGCATTCAATAGCGAAGGCCGCTGCTGGTCCTTCTCCTGCTCCTCCTCACGCACGCACGCACGCACTCGTCTCTTTGGATACCCATTCGCAGCATCTACACCTCACTGGACAAGAGATACGCCTCGACGTCCTTTTCGGCTGGGCCAGCGACGAAAAGCCGACAGCTGCTGACTGTCGCTAGACCTCAGCTGCATGGGAAAAAGCTGAGATGACGAGAGAGTATCTTGCTACCGGTAAATGGGACAGTCATGGACTGCCTGGGTACTGTAAAGCAGACAAATGATTGTACAAAGCGAACGATGCTTGAAAGAGCTAGCCGACCGTCTCGTCACCTTTACTCAAGCGATCAAGGTCTTCATTATCAGAATGACAGCTTGCAGATCCAAGAACAGCAGTCGCGATTTTGCTTCTAGACAGCTAGCCTCTGAAGGACATGGTCGTGGTGTGAAACGACATTGTGTCGGGCGTTTTCGCCTGCAATCCACGGTACTGTGATGATCACGTCGATCTTGACGGTCACGGTATCGGCGGCAGCTATTTGCGCTGGCTGTTTCCCGATGGAAGACAAAAGCAGCTTCGGCGCTCACATTCGATTCGACTGAACATCCAACACCTTGTCGCGATACAAGAAGCGTTCGGCCAAATTGTCGGTTCCGTGACGCACGCACACAATAACTGCTGTTGTGTGATCAAGTCACCGACATAGCACTCCAGCGCAACGAATGTTGTGCTTGACAACCGTAAGATTGAGTCGTTTTGTGCCCGGAAGTTGACGTCCGATAGTTAACGTGAAAGCTGCAGTCGTGTTTGCACTATATTGTGCACATTGTACACCTGGTGAGACAAAACTGCCACATGGTGAGACCAAACTGCCACATGACACACAACAACTCTCGTGATGACACAGTAGATACGGTCGCGCCTTCGAGAGGACTTGTTTTGTCACAAGCATTGTCGTATAGCTATGGTTTTTTTTAAAACAAGATAACGTTGGAATGGGTACTCCGCGAGACAAAGCGGTAGACGAATAGCATTCTCAAACACCATAGCGTAGAACGGCCTTACGCAAAGGCGATGCAAAGGCGATGTCTTGTCGATGGATGACGGACGGCCTCTGATATTGCGATCACGTACAACTAGAATGACTTACTTGCAATGCCGTTGGTGGACGGCTCTTTCTTAGCAAGCGCATCAGTGCCAGAACCGCACAAACACCACACGTGCAGAAAGACGGCGTGCAATCTCACGCGTAAGTGGCACGAGTCGCTCCTCTATCCATCATTCACACCCCAGTGCGTCATGCGAGCAGCTGTCAGCTGTCTTCAGTACAGTATCGCTGAAAACTACTGTTATCCCTTTCTTATCCGGCAATAAATAGTATAGCGGAGCGCTCAGTGCCGCGTCACAAAACCGACTGACTCGACGTCGAAAACTGAATAAAAACGAGCCAAACTGCGCGGCATACACAGTGCAAGACGATCGGTGCCAGCGCTGTCGAAATCGGCGCTTCTCGTACCACCACACCAGCGCCTTCTTGAAACGAGACGAGACGATATCGAGAGTGATGGTCGGTGACCTCCACCTTAAGTACGAACCGCACTGCGTCCCATGACGGCAACTTGCGCATTCCGCGCGCGGGGGCATGAGCAAGAGACAGGACACGCTCTGGACGGCGTTCCGACGGCAGCAGCAGCAGCCGAGCGGTAAGCGGCAGAAGGTGCAGACGCACGAGGAGACGGAGCCGTCGGTCGCTCGACGGAAACAGCGCCGTGCGGTCGCGGACGAGGACGAGGCGGGTACGAGAAGGCTCAGCCAGTGTGGGGGCACGTCGTTGCTGTCTGCGCGCGCGCTGAAGGCGCTGGAGAGGCTGTTGATGGACGTGTGTTGGTCTGATGGTCTGCGTGGATGTGTGTGTGTGTTTGTGTGTGTGTGTTTGTGGATGGGCACAGTTGTGTCAATGTGCGCAGATACAGAGACGGAGACAGCACGTGCAGTTGTCGTAGTGGGCGAAGGGGAGGAGGAGGAGGAGCTTGAAACGCAAGAGACGCCACTGGAAACGCTCAAACTGAACGAGCGAAAGGAGGTGAGGTAGAGCGAGAGTAGTAGTTGTTGTTGTTGTATTTGTTGTTGTTGTTGTTGTATTGTTGTAGTAGTCGAGTGGTCGTAGTACTTTTGGGCGTGCGAACGCTGATGGAGTTGTATTGTTTGTGCTATGCAGATCAAAGACAGTGTTCATGGACTCATGACGTTTGAGCCGATTTGCATGAGGATCATTGACACACTGCAGGTGCACAGTGTACGACGGTCGGTGCAAAGCTGTTGCGCGCACTGACGTTGTCTTGTTGTCGTGCGCTTTGCCTTCTGCTGCTTAGTTCCAGCGACTGCGCAACTTGCACCAGCTTGGAGCGGCCAACTTTGTGTACATTGGCGCAACGCACTCTCGCTTCGAGCACTGCCTCGGGGTGGCCCATTTGGCTCAAAAGATGATTGAGAGCATTCGCTCGCACCAACCATGGCTGCCAATTACGGTCCAGGACGTTACGTGCATCAAGGTTGCGGGGCTGTGCCATGACTTGGGCCACGGACCGTTCAGCCACGTGTTTGATGGATTGTTCCTCGAGCAACTACGGAAGAAGAACATCATTGACGCGGCGTTCGAGTGGTCGCACGAGCAAGGGTCGGTGGACATGTTTGACTTTTTGCTTTGGAAGAACACGATCCGTGTCGAGGACTACGGCTTGAATCAGCAGGATGTGTTGTTTATCAAGGAGCTCATTTGGGGCGGACCTTTGCCCGATTCGAATGGCGTTCTACACGGACGGCCATCTCGTGACCAGCGATTCCTGTACGACATCGTGAACAATGCGCACTGTGGGCTGGACGTGGACAAGCTGGACTATTTTATGCGTGACTCTCTTCACACGGGCGCGAAAATGTCTTGTGACACGGACTTGCTGATTCGCAATGCGCGCGTGCTGGTTGATCAAGAAGACCCGGACGAAAGCATGGTAATTTGCTTTCCCGAGAAGCTAGCAGGACAGGTCATGCAGGCTTTTCGCACGCGCTACGAGCTTCACCAGTCTGTGTACCAGCACAGAGGAGTTCGTGCTATCGACTACATGCTCTGCGACCTTCTGATCGCCGCGAACGATACGTTATTGTTCAAAGGACAGCGGATTTCTGAGATCATGCAGTCAATGGAGGCGTATCAGCATTTCGATGATCGAGTGTTGCTGAAGATTCAGGAGAGCGATGGTCCTGAGCTCTGTGTGGCCAGATCGATATTGAATCGCATTTACTCGAAACCGTACTACACCTTTGTCGGCAAAACAGCGTCGACAGCCCACTCGCAGCACGCATCAACGGACGTGCTTCTAGAGGAAGTGTTGCGTTGTTCACCTCGTCGGTCGTTGATCCGCGATAAAGACGCGGTCATTCTGGAGATCATGCGTGTTCACTACGGCAAAGGAAAGGAAGACCCTCTTCAGTACGCTCGATTTTATTCGAAAAATGCAACGGCAAGCTCCCGGTGCTTTCGCTTGCCCGAGTGTGCGTACGAGATGTTCAGCCCGCAGAGGTTTGAGGAGTGCTCCATCCGGATGTTTGTGAAAGAAACGCAGTTGGTACGCTACCATCACATCGATCTTTTCCCTCTATTCGCCACACTGGAAGATTAACTGACACACGAACTTGTATTTAGGTGCTGCCTGTTCGCGAGGCGTTCGAGAGATGGTGCTGCAAGTACAACAAATCTCAAGCGTTCCCGCTGCGATTCCACACGTTGCTGGAGTTGCAGTAGTAACGAGAGACGAGCAATAATGTCCGTGTGCACATCACGGTGGGCTTGGAACAATAGGCGTGACAAACTGCTGTTCGAGCCAGATGGTCGACTTGTGTGCCAACGCGCCACCAAAGGCGCGCTTATGACTTCATGGGAGCTGCGGCCGCAACGTAAATTGCTATCTTGTCTTCCATCAGCGACAGGTCGTCTTGTTGAGGCAGCGCAATCTGCAGTGTCACACATGGCAAAATGTCAGCTACCAGGCGGCATATACATGATATCATCCGGACCGCGACACTTACATTCGGTGGTACTTCGTAGATGCACGACTTGCCATCGGCGTCACCGGTGATCACGCTCTTGCCGTCAGCGCTCCATCGGACCTTGTTGAGGGACTGTTGACTCACCTTTTCTGAGACTACTGGCACCTCGACATCTCTCAGGATGTTCCAGACACTGACAACGCCACTACTGTCAGCAACGGCAAACAGTGCAGGGTGGATTGGTGACCACCGCACGTCGCTTATGTATTCGCTCGAAGGCTCAAACGAGAGCACTGGGGACTCGGGATGCTCGATGCTCCACAACTTGACTGTCGAGTCCAGCGAGCAAGTGAGCAAGAGGCTGTCACGGTGCGTTGGCAGCACTGGGTTGAAGTGCATAGCTGTGACAGGGCCGAAGTGAGAACCGTCTTTTGAGACAGCCTCGACAACAACCTCGCGGACGAGATCTCGAGTACCGCTGCCAGACAGACCGCTCCGGCTTTTCGTGACGGTATCCATGCTGCTGCTGCTGCCGTCATGGCCAGCGCTGGGCTTGTTCTTCTGCTCGTCCACTTTTGTCGAGTATAGCTTCCCTGCCTCCGTTCCGACAAACAGCTCCTTGATCTCCTTGCCCAAGACTGCGAAAGACGTCACGGACGCTTCCATCTTCTTATCGGATGTATTCACAGACGTGTAATTCGACACGATGGAGAGCGAGATGCGCAGGTCCAGCATATCGAGCGGTTTCTGCAAATGGTCGACATCCCATATGCACACGCGGCCGTCGGTGCTGGCAGAAATCAGACTGCAACATTTGTTGTTAGTGCATACCGTTCCCGAGCAAATGACGCAAGGGTTACACTTACGAGTACGAGGTCTTCGTTCCAGCGACAGCCATGGCATAGATCGGGTGGGTGTGACTGTACGCCGACAGAGCCGTCTTCTGCACTGGCGCACTTTTTGCGCGTGTGTCCCATAGCACAATCTGACCCGAGTACGTGCCTCCGATGATGACATGCCGATCGAACGGATTGAAGCAGGCACTTGTGACCTGCGAGTGGCACGTGAACCGATACTCCGGTCGACCTGGCAACGCCGTGGACCACAGAAGCACCACACCTTCCGTGGTCGCAGCCACTTCCGTCGGTACCCGTGCGGTGGCCGATTTGCCCATCGTATCCCACTGAGACGACGCGCCATCGTCTTTGCCTTCCTCCTCGAGGAAGTTGCGTGCAGTGTAGGCCACGAGGGTCAGTTCCGGGTAATACGGCGACACGTCCACGTCAGTCACCGCGCGGTGCTTCGACCACTTGTTGTCCACAAAGACGTGCTGCTGCTTCAGCGACTCGGTGAATTCCTCCACCGCTTTGTCCTGCCCCACCTCTGCGCCGTAGTCGACCATGATGTCAAACTTGCTGGATGTGCTCAATGCACGCTCAATTACTCGCGACGCCTTGTTCAGGAACGCCTCCATGCTGTCCGACTGCATGAGCAGAGTCTTGTCATCCGCCGATAAAGGGGTCGACGAGTTCTGTACAATAGACGTATCACTTGATCCCGTCGTCCAGTTACGACTCTGGGGTGAAGACGCTCCTGTCTTGATGTCGTCCACACTGTTTGGATGTTTCGAGCCCGAAACATCCACAAGAGGGTCGTCCACCTCCATGTTTGTGACATTATCCCCTCTGACGATTATCTCGTGCTCCAGCGTAATATCCGTCTCGGTATGTTTTGTATACGTCTCCACGAGCGTCGGCTGGATGTGCGTCTCGGCCACGTTGCTCACAGTCGACAGCGTCGAGAGCTTCTCCGCCAGAGACAGCGTGCTACTTACCACGTGACTCTTTTCCTGGCTGTCTTCGCGGCTCTCTGCAGCGGATACTTTTTCATCCTTGTCGCTGGATGTTTTCAAAATATTCTGGATAAAATCGTCAAACTTGTTCTCCTGCTGTCCAATGGCCTGGTCCACGCTCGTCGATGCCGCTGAATTCTCCTCGGCCGCTCGGACAGCAGCTTTGCGCATGCGGATCTCCTCCAGTTTCTTGCGCTTCGCCTCCAGCTCGGCCGCGTGCTTGGCCCGCACCGAATCCATCACTTGCTCCTGATGTTTGCTTTATCCGTGTTTCGACAATTTCGGATACTGACGTCAGCGGTCCCACCCGCATTTTACGCAGCTTGTGGTACAATGTACGACCAAAGACGTGCGTACAATCGTACACAATGCGCCAGCTGTCAAACACGCAACATTGGCGCAACATAAGGCAGCAACACAAAGCCGGGTCGCATTCACGATACCAGCAGATCAACCGACATCCCACTTTGGCATTGCAGGTCAAAGCTGTGCTGCTCCACTTCACAGCTTCGACAATGATCGCTGTCATCAAATTGTTTGTGCCTTTTCTTTCCTTTCTATCGACTGTCACACGCGGCAGCATATCGCATCATTTCATTTTCAAATGCAACGTCTCCGATCGTCTTATGAGGTAGAGACCTTCTCGATCGCCCCTACCTATCGTGTATTCATCCGTTGACGCTGTGCAAGCCTATAAATCAAGAACCCGTACAAACTTCCTCGCTGTCATGCTCATCACATTGATGCGCAATTTGTAGCAAGGAGCAAAACAAAGATGTCGTTGCACAAGCGCAACGCATCGACGGAAGTGTTCTGCGTGTTCCACACGTCTTTCTCATACCCTGTGCGTCCACGTTTATGTGGTCGAGACTGTTGCATGCGTGGAAGTGCGTCATGGGTTGTAGACCGTCGACAGTGAAGCATTGCAGAGCTTTTGCAAGGCTCGATAGAGGCATACAAACTCTAGAGGAGGAAGAACTCGCAGTGGTAACGGGAACTCTTGGAGTGTGGTATAGCAATGTAGATCCTCTTGAGTAAATGGTGAGCCTACTTGCACGTAGTACAGAAATCTACGGGCAAGAAAACTGGGTGAGTGCCCTCAGGTATTACCTACGGGAAAGGAACTGTAGGAAAAGGTGCATGACATGTACAGGTCACCAGATAGTAACAGTGTTTATTGTAGAAGCAGTCTCTAGCAAATCTTGCTACTTGCTGGGTCAGTCGGCATTTGGTGGTAGGCTGATGGAAAGAGCACAACGCACGAAGCGGAAATTGGCTACTCATTGAAGCGTTGTGTTTCGGTGAGTGGTTATCATTGCTATTGTAACAGGGGTCGACTTCCATCATACGAGGTCTAGTAGGAACGGCCGACTACTGACCGAAATTAGCGGGAGGACAGGGCTTCCTTAGCAATGGTATGGAGAAGGCCGGGGCTTTGATAAGGGCCCGACGACTGCAGCTTTTCGAAGAGCTGGATGTGATTGCTCTAGGTAAAGTCGATCGCTCAAAGCCGCATATAGATGGAGAAAGGAGGAGCTGCAACAAGCTGCAGATCGAGATGAAGCGATGGATACTAAGTTTGCTATCGACTAGATTGGCCTCACGGGTTCACGGTATGGGTACGGAGCCGACGTGGAGACATTCCTTCTCGAGTAATTTGATGGCTACATTTACAATAAGCCGAAGTCAACAGGGACAATCTCGTACGACAGGCAGCAGAGTGCAAAGTTCAAGCCTGGTACAGACATCGAGCCGTACATATAACTTTCGTGTTCGAACGCGCCAAGTGACTCCTGGTACTACAATTGATGAACAACAAATAAACAGCTTATCGTAAGCAGTCTGTAGAAGACAATCCACAACCATGTTCTTTTATAATCCAGCCGAGATAGCGTTGGAGCACGTGGACACTTTGGAGAAGCTTCGGCACACAGTCCTACTTTTCGGCTGTGCACAATGTGCAGATGCTGTGGCTATGGATCACGATGGCGCTGCCGAAAGACTGAGTGCAGATCAACACAGATTGGTTAGCAACCACACAGAGTTATCGATAAACACATAAACGTAATACACAATTCTGACGAGACATGATCGACGGTGTTGGCTCTGGTACTACATCGTAGTGGTCTTACACCTCGAAGATTGCCGGGTATCACCATCATTCTCTTGTTTGCCGTCCGACCAACCCCTGGCAGAGCGAAAGATAACAACTGAAACGTCGCTGGTGATGAAGACAGTGTAGGTCTGCATGGCCGATAACAAGGTAGATGCGTGTTTTGGCATATCACGAACACTACCGAGTGTAGAAGAAAGAAGCGCAGCAATTTGACGGTAACGCTTGGCGCTGTATATGATCGAACGAGAAGTGCATTTGACACATCTAAGGCATCTGATGCACTACTTTGTAACTTTGCTCTGTATATGTTACCTCAAACACGTCCGTCAACCCTTTGCTCATATCTTATCGCGCTCGTACAGAACTGAGTGGGAGTTTAGCGGCTAATTCTATGGCTAATCTCAGCCAAAAAGAAGAGTGTCACCGACAGGGCCACACACCACTGTCCAACGTCATATTCCAATTTGATCAAAAGCTGCTGTAACAATATTTACATTGAGGTTTTCAAACATGTCGGTATTATGTAACAAGGTCACCAGTTGCACATGACGCGTAGCCGAGATGTACCCACACGTAATGTAACTCCAACCCCAGAGAGATGACTATTGAAAGCGAATGCTCGTGTTCGGTTGTGTTTTAGACATTAAGTAAGTCGAAGTTTGTATCTGCGATAGCACTACAGCTATTTGTATGTATGTATCAATCGAGAATGCACTTGTGAACGGGTGCTCAGCCCTCTGGCTGCATCATGACGCACTACGACTGCCGCACACAGTTACTGTTCGCTGTTGTTATTGTGCCTCTGCGCGATGATACGGATACCAAAGGTACGTTTCCACAAGGTATACGCAAGAAGAAGGAGAAGAAGAAGCTGAACTGTGTACTCGAAACTTCACTCGGCGTCAGGCAGTTATCCACTTGGCGCTGTTCAGCGTCTCCCGCTCTCCTCCCAACTTGATGACTGGCATCGAGATGGATGTGCTTGAACTTGGGCCCCGAAGATTCACTGGATGGACTAGCGGAAGGCTCTCGGGAGACAAAACCCACCCACACACACACACACACACACATCTGCATCGGTACATTTGTATCGCTATATAATACTAAAGTGCGTACGGCACGTTGTTGCTCGAGATTGAATCGGACCGTTCATGACGTCCCAAAGAACGCTTCGTCCGTCCGTCCGTCCGTCCGTTCATCTTCCTCCTTCTTCCTCCTTCATGCTACAGTACGACACCCCATTGCTTCAAGTCGTCTATGGGTACAGTCTAACTCGACAGTGTCGACTTCCGGACAAAGTATGGCTCCACTTGGAACTCGGCCGAGCAGTACGGGAAATTGACACCTGCGGCGTCCGTGGCTGGATGAAAGAGGTTTCGCCCGGCGTTGACCAGCACGTAGCAGCCGACGATGGTGCAAACGACGACCAATAGACAGGCCACGACGCGCTCGTACATTGGTAGCTCGCTCCAGAAGACCTTGAGGTAGAAGAGAATGGGCAGCGCGAGGCAGCAGACCGTGACGGCCGACGCCCCTGTGAAGTCCACGAGGTCGAGAAAGCGCGTGCGCAAGCCAATCGATGCGGCCACGAGCACTGCAATGAGCGACAGCCGGAGCGTCACGTAGCGCAGCACAACGCCTTTGCCCGTGTACGCGGCGCCCGCGCGCTTGTGGTCGGCCAGGAGCCCACTTGGTGGCGTGTGCGAAGCCGAGTAGCTGTTGCCTTCGAGGTCCGACGTCGCGGGGTTCGCCAGGCTCGCCCCCCGATGCTTTGGCCCCGCGCTCGACCGCCGCTTTCGTCGCGTGCATGCCAAGGAGGAAGCGCTCGGCCATGTAGAACGGCGGCTGGATGATGGTCGAAAACGCAACGACAATGTGCAGCTGCATGAAGAGGTACGCCATGACGACTGCGCCCCGATGCGGGACAAACCCCAGCGCCGACGCGGCCCGGGGGTCTGCAACGTTCACGAGCGAGAAGAGGAGGTTGCCAGAGAGCTGGCAGCCGCCAGCAGTGTAGCCCACAATGGCCACCACGAGGAAGAACGCCGAGCCGGCGCCCATGCTCACGAGAATGACGCGGGGCATCCGCGTCGGGTCCGAGTGCTGGCGCTGGAGGTCGGGCACCACGACCGACGCGCCGTACGCGAGGGAGAGGTTGCCAAAGGTCGTGAGGACCTGGTGGAGCGTAATGTCCGGCGCTGGGACGGCCGGGTGGCCCCGCAGTTCCCACTGGAGCACACTGACGCCCACGACGTCGGCCACGAACGTGCCGAGGCAGCCGAGGACGGCCATGGCAGCTGCTTCGTTCAGCGTGGGGATCAAACAGGGCGGAACGACGGTGAAGGCCATCAAGACAATCCAGGCGGTCTGACTGAAGGCGTGGGGAAAGAGCACGTCGAGCAGAGTGCTGCCGAGCACGAGGAAGGCACAGGGCAGGAGCAGACACACGAGCAGCTGGGAGACAATGACGGCGTAGCGACCGGGTTTGCCGCAGACCCAGTCCCCTACGTCCGTGAAGGTCTGGACCGAGGCCGGGGCGGCCAACATGACGCGCGAGAGCGCAACGGTCGCGTAGATATTGGCGAACGCCATGAGCAGCATGGCAGCGGTGGCGTAGAAGGGCCCCGCGCGCGCAAAGTTGGACGGCATGGCGAGCGTCCCAATGCCAAAGAAGCAGCAGACCATTGTGAAGATCGTGCGGGCGTCTTCGGACGTGAGGAACGCTCGGGTCGAGTGCGCACGTGACGCCATATGTCGTGGGGGTCCGCTGCAGATTGGAAAGTGACAAGGGGAGTGATCGAGTGATCGAGTGAGTGAGTGATCGAGTGAGTGATCGAGTGATGGAGTGATGGAGTGAGTGCACTTGGGGGAATCGATTGTATGGGCGACGGCAGTGGACTGATTTCGTTGGCATAGCGCGTCCGTCGCCCGAGGGGCTCCGACCAGTCGTCGACTGGGGCGGGAAACAGGTGGGAAGCAGGTGGGGCATAGACCGCCGAGTTGGCCTTCCGACCACGTGGGTGGACGGGGGTTTGCACCACCAGTGGGCGGAGGGAGGTACTGTATACCCGTTCGGAGCTATATACAGTACCAGTTTCGACAGCTCGAGACGTGCAAATGAGTTTGTGGTTCTTCGTCGTCTTCTTCGTCGTCTTCTTCTGTATATTTGGAATGGTCACGTGGGACCGAATCTCGGAACGTACGGCGGTCGATAGTGGAAGAGCTATTGCGGACAAGTGCCGACGGTAGACGGCCGACTCGCGTAGATGGACGTTATAGGGTCACATTACGTGGGCATTTTGACCTCGTGGCAAGTGGCGGACGTGGCAGTAGTTCCTTCCGAGTAAACATCGCAGAGACTGTGGTGTTGCTCGTGGGTTTCTCGCTGGTCGACATGTACGTTCCGGTGAGTGAAGTGGTGGGCCATACTGACTCCTCGTCTGTGGACGAGCGAGATTCGCCGCGTCCGCAGATCCATCGCGTGGAACTTTACGAGCAGACGCAAAAGGAATTGGGACACAATCAGATTCATCGAACGCTGCGATCTGTGGGGCCGCTCGGGGGCTGAAGATCCGTTTTTCGCAACAACGCCGACGAGCTCAGAGGGCATGCACGGACACCTGGTCTCGTCTGTACTTCAACAGGCACTGAAACACGCCATGATGCGCGTCAAAGAACGTGGAGCGAGACACATCGATGCAGTGCCGAACGTGCGCCGAAGGTACTTCGTGGACGTCAGCACGAGGCAATGGGGAAGAGCTCCAACACTTTGTCGCATAGAGTCGTGGTGCGAGACAATATCGCAGGTCAAGTTCTCCTCAACTCGACAGGTCGCTACTGTTCAACACGCAGCCTCTATGACCTGTCTCCTGGCCGTCGATCAGGACAAGTCGGTGCCGCTTACATCGCGCTCTTGGTGGCATCCACCTTCGTAGACGCGCTTCGTCATCGAACGACAGGGCGCTTGTCAACAACGACGCTGGTCTGCAGTAATCAAAGGCCTTTGAACATGCAGAGGGCCACACTGCCGCCCATCTTGTGTCGAGGTGACCAGATATAAGACGCCTCTTTCGATCGAGACGCTCGAGAGGTGCCGATGAATTGAGATACAAGTGGTAGCGATATCCGTTGCCTTCTTCCATGTGTACACTCGTGTCCGTAAACAACACCTCCTCAGTTTGACCGGGTAAATGGTCAACGGATCACCAGTCAAAGTCAGCGAAACATTGCAGCGAATGGGTCAACTGAGATGCAGTCCGTTTGTCTGCTCTTTCTTGCCACGGACCGCTAGCAAATCGATTGCTGTGGTGCGAAACTGTTTCGAATCGATCCGATATGTCGCACGGTCTAATCGCAGGCGCAGACGTGCTCGACGTCGGGGTCCAGGACGACCACTTTCTGTGCACACGCACGTTATCATATTTGTTCCGCCAGAGTACAATCCCTGTACGACAGTGCGCTCATCATCACCATTGCCTGTTCTGCTAGCGACACAACCGTTCCGACTTTTAGCTGTTTGACGCAGCACTTTGCTCTCGTTTCGCTCAACAGGCCGCGAGAATGCCAACGTCAAGAAACTTTGCTCTGGCTGCATTCAGACAGTAGTGCTGCAAGACAGTACGATCTTGGGAAGACGACAGCAGTAGATGGCAGACCCTCGATACGGCTTTGCACGTAGCCGGTCGCTGAGTGGATGGCAAATCGCCACGAACTGCGAGGAGTGTGGATGCAGCAGCACGTTCACAGCTTCGCTTGACCACTTGGAAACGAAGTGAGGTGCACCGCAGGACTGTTCGTGGTCCTCTTGCAGTGAACGGAACGTGGTCCAGTGCTGACTTGGTCGCCCTTGACCGACATCCCCAACTGAACCGAATAGCGCCGCCAGGTGGTTGGGCGTCCGACAAGAGGTAGCAGTGAAGGGACAGCCAACGACGAAGCACAACCAACTTCCACGTGGCAACCTGTCCGAATGTCCACATGGCTGGTGTTAGTCGAACGAGCGCTGCAGTTGATGGGAGGCAGCTTACTCCGTCGATTGGATGGCATTATCGACATGACGCTGGAAAGTCGACCGGAACCTTCGAGCAAGCCGAGTGTCGTCTAGCTTTGGCGCTCGGCAACTCTCAGCCAGTCTACGACTTCATTGAGCACCTGCATACTCGTCTTGCTGCGCCAGTAACCATGACTTGTCTCCACTCTCCTGGCAAACTGAACCAGTTGGCAGATTTTCGTAACTCTGTGCCATGAGACGCACTATCAATACCCAATGTTCGAACCTTTCCCGACTCCTTCACGTCGATGGATCCGGAACGACCACGTCGGCCTCGGCTACTAGTGAGGTGACACAGGTACATCCGGGCTACTGCCGTCATCAAGTTGCCTCTTTGCACGACCTGAAGACAGCGACGATGAAGAACGAGAGTGTCGAGACGCCGATGACTGCGCATCCGGGGACACGAACGAAGAGGCATGAGAGCTGGATTGCAGCTCCTCGATTTTTCGATCGCGCTGTCACACCAACACAAACAATGATCAGGCTGCAAGTTACAGTCCGACACCAAAACAAACAAACGTGCCACTGACCTGCTGAATTTCGCGCTCGTACTTTGCTGCGAACCGCTTGAACTTACAACGCGATCGTTCCAGTTGCTGTAGATGCACCAAGAGTAGTTAGTGCTTGTATCATAACAAACGGTTCAGATAGACTTTCCTTGATCGTGTCATCCTGCTGAGCTAGCCGATCTTCCAGCTCTTGGCACTTCATCTGGGCCTTCTCGATCGCGTGGTACGGCAGGAGTGAAGAAGACGCGCTAAATGACTTGTCGCCAGATTCTGGAGTGCTTGCGATTGCATTTGATGATGGTGAAGGCGGAGTCATGTCGTCTCGCTTCGTACCACGCGCTCTCGGTTGCAACGTCTGAGACGCCTGACCGACAGACGGAGGTATGTGATTGAGCTCCGACATGTCCATAATAGCCGTGGAAACCGGTACCTGACGAAGATAGGATGCCTGGATTTCTTGGGCCATTGCATTTCGTTGCTCTTCCAAATGCGAGATCACATTTTCATTCGTCGCTATCTTCTGGCGAAGACTAGATGCAACCTCTTCAAGACTTCGCCGCTGGGACTGCTCGTCGCGAAGCTTGTTTTGCAAAGACTTGACTTCATACGTGCAATTGCTCAATTTCGCCTCCAAGTGCACAATGCGCTGGGACACGGCAGCATTTTCAGCATGGGCTCCATAACGCTGAGCCGAAATCTCAGTCGAAATCTGCTTTTGGGCTTCGAGCTCTTGCAGAAGCTGCTGCATTCGCGTTTGGAGGTCGGTTTGCTTTTCCTCATTGTTCTGGAGCTTTTCTGTAAGAAAGCTAACTTGCTCACGATACGTAGCCGCTTCGGTCGTCAACGTCCCATTCTTCCCTCTCAATGCTTCGACCTGGTTTTCAAGCGCAGTCACTTGCTTCCTTAGGGACTCATTCACGAACGCAAGCTCATCTTGGAGCGCAAGCATTTCCCCACGTGCCTTTTGCATCCCCTCCTGTTCTTGTATCAACGATCGGTACGTATGACGCAAGTCCTCTAGCTCAATCTGCAGTGTGTCTCTTTCCCGCTGAATCTCTCTTGTGCTCTGCTTCATGCTTTTAGTCGACTGGGAGCGAGTGTTCTCCATTCTTTGCAATCGGGTACACTCTTCGGCAATTGCTTGATTTTCGATCGTCATATTCTCCAGGTCTTGTGCAAGTGCTGCCAACTCGGCCGTGTGGACTCCCTCCAGATGTTCCAGACGGTCGAGTTCAGATTCAAGTTTCGAGCAGTGGGCTTGCGTCTTGCTTAGCTTATCCTCGGTCTCGTTCAGTCTATTCACCAGGTTTCCCACTTGCCCCTGGAGTCCGGCAGCATCAGATTGTTCAGCCTCGATTGCCTGGCGAAGCTCGCTGCTTTGCTTTTCGATCTCCTGATATTTCTCAGTCAAAACGTCCAGCTGATCATTCACGGCGTCTTTTTCGCTGTCTAGTGTTCGTGTCAGTTTCTTTAGCGACGTGATCTCAGCAACCTTCGCTGAATTCTCACTTTCGAGCGAAGTAATCTTTGCGTTCAAACTTTCTATCTCTTGTTGGTGTCGCTGGATCTGGTGCTGTCGCTGCTTCGTCTGGAAAACCAACTGGTCTCGAGACGACTCCATCTGTTCCATCAACAGCTTACAATTCTCAAGAGCTTCCGTTTTCTCGGTCAAGGCACGATCCTTGGCCTGGTTTTCCTCTCGTAATTGTTGCAACGCAACCTCGCGCGCGCGATTTGTCTCTTTTGCCAGCGAGAGCTCATCTTGGAGCAGAACCAGTTGCGTCTGGATGCTTTTGTGAGTCGTCTTCTCTTGTTCCAGTCGTGTCTCCACGTGGAATAGATTGCCATGCTTGAGCTTCAACTCGCTTTGCAACCGCTGAACCTGCTGCTTCAGATCGCTTATCGACACTTGGCTAGACTCAAGCGCGTTTTGACCGGACGAGAGCGAATGCTGCTGAGTCTGTACTTCGCCCGATAGTTTCTCGAACTCGTTCTGGTAATAACTGCATGTCTGACGGACGGTGCGCAACTCCACCATCGCGTTCTCGTAACTCTCCAACAGCTCTGCCTTCTCTTTACCAAGCGTCGTACACTTTTTGCTTATCGCCGCAGATTCTACCTGCAACTTCCGAATTTGATCCGACAACCTTTTTGCGTGTACATCGTCGTTCTCCACGCGATTTCTTAGACTAGCATTCAGCTCGCGCAACTCTTCCACGCGCCGCTTCAGTGCTGCAGCCTCGTTCTGGACGATCAGCTTCTCGTCCTCCGTACCTTCAGCACGACGTAGTAGAGTCTGTGCTTGGTGCTGCTTGCCAGCGAGCAGACGGATCTGCTCCTTGCTTTCTGCAAGTTGCTCCTGAAGATCAAGTGACTCGCGCTTTTTTGTCTCCAGCATCGATGCAAGGTTGCTCTGCATCTCTGACCCCGCATTTATCCTCTCGGTCAATTTCTTCTTCTCGAGCTCGGCCTCTTCCAGTAAACATTTGGTCTCCTGCAAATCTTCCTCGAGATTCACAACCCGAACCATCAATTCTTCCTTCGCGCCACGGAGATCGTGCCGCTCGTCATCCAGCCACTTCCTTTCCTGAGCATGCACCTCCAACCTGCCATCCTGGGCTCCATCGTTACCCTCCGCGTCACTGGCCGCTGTTTCCAGACTGTCGAGTTTTCCAGTCAAACGCTCCACCTCTCTCTTACTCACGAGCAGTGCACGATTCAACGACCGGCACTCGTCATCGCGTTCAGACAGTGCTTTCTTCAGCGTCCTTAACTCTTGATCTAGCAAAGCGTTTTTCTCGCAGTCAAGAGCGTGGCTGTCTTCACTCTGCTCAAGCGATTGACGTAGCACATTCAGCTCACGGACGCTCGCCTCGGAAGAAGCCCGGGTATCTGCCAATGACTGCTCCAACTCGGCTTTTTCCACGGTAAGCTCCTTTACTTTCGCTTCAGCGCGAGCTAAGTCACTCGTAAGTACGCGGATATGCGAGTTCGCATTCGCGAGGGCGTTCGTGTACGACGTTTTGTCATGTTGCATAGCGCGAAGTGCATCGCCAAGCCTGTCTTTGTGCGCTTTCAGTGTTCGCACCTGCTCTTTCAGCAATGTAACATCGACATGCTTTTCTTCCTCTGCTGAATCGTTGTGGGCAGCTTCGGGGTCATGCATCATGGGTAAGCTATCTGACCCACGATGAGCGTCGAAGTCCGTTCCCTCCGAAACACGGTACTTGCTCTGCAGCACTCTGACTTCTTCTTCCATACGCGCCCGATCTAGCTCAGCCTGCCTAAAGAATACACATTCCTCGATCAAAACCAGGAGACACAATCAGGTGCGCTGGCAAAACAATGCACACGTACTGCAGCTTCTCCGTGACGTTGTCGCTTCGACGAATCTGTTCAGTCGCATCCCGAAGTCGTCTTTCATACCTGGTCACCTCATCTTTTAGACTATCGATCTGTATACTCAACAACTCTACCTGCAAAGTTGCTGCCTCCTGACTTTCCCTCGTGTGACACTGCTCCTTCGATTCTTGCGATTCTGCTGATGACGTCAGCTGCTTCTTTGCAACGTCCACTAAGCAGTTTGATCGCCCGTTAATCTCCTGCTCCTGATGTGCCATTTTGGCATTCAGTTGATCGCACTGCGCTTGCAACTTGACATTTTCGGCCGTCAATTCTGCCAGTTGCTCGTGCACGTCCCTGGCCACTTGTGCCAGCTGTTCCGACTGCTGCTGCGTTTTTCGCGTTGGATGGCTATCCAAAGAGAGTCGCTGCAGCGACTTCACGGAACTTCTTCTTCTTGGAGTGTACGTCAAAGCACTTGCTCTTGTATCGAGCACCTGTTCCAATTGAGTCCGTAACTTGGTCACTTCTTGCTCCTGCAAGAGAAGAAACAGCGACCAAACAAGTGGATCAGAAAACGAGGAACCCATCGACAGGACAAATCTCAATGAATCTGCTGCTTGCACTTGCTTTGTCGTTGCATTGTTGCGTCATTTGGTACTTCGTCAGCTGCAACTTCCTCACGTCATCGTGCAAACGCTCCAGCTCGAGCTCAAAGACCCTCTCTCGCTCGGTCAGCGCCTCTTCCTGATGAATAATCTCCAGATACAGCTGCACACACGACAATGTGTGAGGACGTGTTTGCTCCACCTTCGTGCAACCTCAAAAGCGACCGACACTATTGTTCTCGTGCGTGAGCTGTGCGTTCTCTTGACGGAGCGGCAACAGACTCTGCGAGAGCTCGAGCGCCTGCGTCTGGACGTGCTCGAGCTCCTGCTCTGTCTCTCGCTTCGCTTCCGCTGCTTCGTTCAGGTCTTCCAGCAGGTGCCGCACGAGACAGACGCTCTCTGCTCCTAGAGGCTGTACATTCGGTCCACATTCCACGGGTCAGTCGAGCAGCGCAACACGCAGAGAGACCGAGACAGCGACGTACGTAGCAGTAAGTACCGTCTTACCTCTGTGTACGACAGCGCGCGCAGCTGCGACTGCAGCGCTTCGTAGCTGCGCAGCTCCATCGCCGCCGTCAGGACTTTGGCTGCGTTGGTGCAAAGATGGCGACGCGTGCGGATGTCACTCGACCGAGGGAACCCGAGCGCCGTGGACAGGATTTCGGTGGTCGGACGTGCTGAAGTAGTAGTCGTAGGTCCATCCAAAAGGACGTGCGCGAGTGTGAAGACGACGTGAACGCCATAGGGGTCGGTTTTGTATAGCACTAGTGCTGTCCATGTGGTGATGGCAGATGACGTGTGTGGGATCTGAATGTATACAAGTATTTGCCTTGTGCGCATCGACGTTCGACGAGTAGCGTCGTGTCGTTGCCATTTATCGTTGATGTAAACAGAAATAGCTCTTCATGAACAGGGCGCGTGGACGCGTGACGACCGCCACGTGCGTAGCTCCGATGGTGCATCGATGATGCAGCAGGTGAGACGGAAATGGAGCGACTTGCGGGCATGACTTGCATTGGTTCGGCGTTTTTTAGGCTTGCGAGGCAGTATGTTGCTGATGATAGGCACACGTAGCTAAGCTTCTTTGCCAAGTCGCTTCTTCTTTGTCTTCCACCGTATTCGTAAGCACTCGTGAGTGTGCGTCTGCCCTGACAAAGTCTAGCGCATATATAGCTTGTACTCGACTGGCCAAAGCCGAACGAGTTCATCCATCGGCGTCGGCTGCGAATCACTCACATGCATGTCGAATGCCTCGCAGTGTTCTGCGCAAGGCCTCTCCGAGGCTCAGTCGAAACGCTCGTGCAGCTGGACGTGTCCTTCATGCAGCAAGAAGAGAATGCACACGTTGACGAGCACATGTTCCGCAAGAGGCTCGAGATGCAGCTGCTACGCCTTGCAGCGTACCAACAAGAGAGCGAAAAGAGCTAGCGACTATGTCCAGGAAATCAATCTTCAGCCTAAACCAACAACAGAGTTCTACTGCGTCGCACTGTAACAATAGACGCAATGTCTCCACTACTATCACTGCGTCTCGATGGCACCGAGTAGACAACACGGACGCCATCGAGACGCAGTGATCGTAGTAAGGCGTTTGTCTCGAAACAACACACACCTCACGGACGCGACAACTCGCTCGTCAGATTGATAGTTCTTCAACAGCTGCCAAGTCACGTTTTTGGACGACATTCGCACCACTCCCACTCCCACACTCGCACTCGCACCCACCTCGACGGGCCACAATACTGTACCAAAAACAACTCTGCCCGCGGACTCCATCGTGCGACATTCTCGAACCCGTCTCGCCCGCCTTTCAGCGCCAACGACTGGTGGAAAATCCGTCACCCACGACACCGCAGAAGAAAAAGACGCAACACGAAGACGCAAACGCCGCCGACTCAGACCGTTGCGCGCGCGCGCGCATCTTCCAGCAACGTTCGTTGCGTTGCTGCAACCACAGAGCGTACCTAGTCCGCACTTTTCCGCGCCGAGCTTCTCTGTCGCCGCGCTCGTCGTTCCGATTGGTCAGTTCTTGATTCCGGACCGTGACGAGCGGCCCGGCACTCTCTCCGACGCGGCCGCTCCCCCCAATGAATACGGAAGCGCTGTCCCCGCCGAGGAAGCGCGCGCGTCTCCGCGCCGAAGAAGAAGCGACGACGACGACGGACATGGCCATGACCAGGACACCGCGTCGTCCGTCTGTCTCGTCTCCACCGCCCGCAGACGCTGCGCCTGGTCGCGCGTTTTCTCCCCCACTGTCTCCAGACGCCGCGACGTTCTTTCCCGAAGCTTCTCGACCACGAAACGACGCCCATGACGAAGTTGAAGCAGACGAAGCAGACGACGCGCAGCTGCGCTCGAGTTTGGCCATGTCGTCGTTTCTGGTGTTGGCACGTAGCCGACTCGACGCCCTGACAGCGGCCGAGTCGCCGGTGGTGGACCGTGAGGCGGCTGCAGGGTCTACTGGAGCGCTGGAAGCCATCAGCAGCAGTGGAGAGGCACTTGGCGACGAGCCCATGCCGTTGGTCGCGGCGGGAGCGGCCGAAGAGTCGACAACCGACGATGAAGAGCTCCAGCAGCTCTCGATGGTCCGTCTGGATCCTTCGTCGGGCAGCGTCATGTTGGGCGTTACTTCGCGCGGGACTACAGTGGTTGAGCTCGCGTACGACGACGTGGTCTCGTTTCTGTTTACCATGGCCAAAGAGCAGAAGACAGAGGAGCTGCACAAGGGCATGCGCACGGTGATGAAAGCCGACAACGCGCACGAACTGCTGCCCAAGTTATTGCGGGCGGAAGACGAGACAGGCCTGACGCTCTTGATGATTGGCGTGCGTGGGAACGACCAAGTGTTTTGTAATATGCTACTGGAGGCAGGCGCCGACGTCAACTCGAAGACGGTGCGTGGATGTGTGGATTGATGGATGAGGTTTGTTTGTTGGTACATGGAGGTGTGCTCACGTTTATGTACCTTGTGTCTGTATTGCTGCAGAAGAAGCGCACGTACGCATTGCTGCTTGCAGCGCAAAAGGGCTGGGAAGACATGACGATGTTCCTGCTGGAGCGTGGCGTGAACGAAGAATCGAGAAACATGGCACTTATTCCAGCAGCTCATTTCGGTCATTTATCGGTTGTCAAGATGCTTTTGGAGACTGGAGGCGACCAGAACTATGCCAATAAGAAAGGCACGACTCCGCTGATGCGGGCAGCACAGGAAGGACGCGAGGGAGTCGTTGGGTTTCTGATCATGAAAGGGGCCGACCCGTGTGCTGCGAACAACGAAGGCATGACAGCGCTCATGTTGGCTGCACAGCGAGGGCACGCCAATATCGCCACAATGCTCATGAAGTCGGGTTCAAACGTGAATAAACAGACCCGGCAAGGCAGTACCGCGCTGTTGCTAGCTGCCAAGCGTGGCCACACTGCTGCCGTCGAAGCGCTGATGACAGCTGGTGCTGACATTTTCCTGAAAGACGACCGGGACAAGACAGCGGCCGAGACGGCACAGCGACGAGGACACGTGGACTTGTTTTTGAAGATTTCGGTGCAGAACCAGCTCCGGTTGATGCGAGAGGATCTCCGACGGCAAAGGTGCCACACGCTCATGCGCTTGTCGACGCTGTACGTGCAGTCGCGCGCCGAGCTGATCCCGGCGTTCAAGAACCCGAAGCGGCAGCAGCACAATACGTTGCTGGACCGTACGTTGCGCTTGCCAAAGCCGCTCTTGCAAGACATTGCTCTATTTTTGCCGCTCTGCCGCATGTGGGACCGCCAGCTCCGTTACCTTCGATACGAAACGGCGTCGCAGCCCAATCGCGTGGTGCAGCAAGGCATTCGCATCTTGGACGAGGTGCTGCTGAGCGTGAGTTTGGAGATGCGGCCGAGTTTGCACTGTATCAAGCTCGAGTGTGGCGGACCGCTGCACGTGACTGGTCAGCTGGGGCTACTGCGCGACAGCAAAGAGTACCGCGGGTTGTTTACAGCCGAGTCACGCACTCCGCTGTGTCCGCGCATGGTGCATCAGTTGCGGCGCATGGCCGATATCCAGGGCGCGTTGTCGACGTACGCTGCCGGCTCAGCGATTCAGTTTGGCGTGGAAGTGGCGCAGGATGTGGTGGCATTGCTCACTGACCTGCTGAACTGGGACAGTGGTCGCGTGTACCAGCAAGCCGAGCTGCTGGAGTGAACAGACAGCGAGTGAAGTAACGCGGTAGTTATAGGTACGACCGCAACGACGTAATTAGATGACAGACCGTGCGCGACAAAGCCGAAGCAGCTGCTGTTGCAGCGAAGGAACAACAATATGTTTGGGCGCCCCTTGTAGCGCCATGTGACAAGACGTCGTTGTTGGTGCTGCTGCTGAACGGACGAAGACGTTGCACCGTCTGCCTGCACGGGCACCGCCGGCCGTCGAATGTTCGTCGTCCAGTCTCAAATCCGTTCCGAGCCAATCGTTTGGTCTTGTTGCCGTTGCTCACCTGCTGACGTGTCGCAGCTTTGGCGATCTCGTCATCATGAGCAAACTAGACGTGCGCCACTTCAACGTCAATCGACGCGCCGAGCGCCGTGATGTTGCGCTTGCCAAAGTATACGGTATACGCTGCGCTCGGTGTATACCGTATACGTTGGCAAGCGCAACGTCACGTCATCGCTCTTTATGGACGCCGTCGAGAGCTCTTCCAGAACGATCTGTATGTGTGACTGCCATCGCACGACCAGACGGAGCGCTGCCGTACCCGTCCCATCCATGTGCGTGCGAGCTGTGCGTCTTCCCCGAGAGCCAGGCCTCTGGGCACGACTCGACTGTATACTTGCGACGGCGGATCATTGCAATGCATTGCGTCCAGTCGCTCCGTACATTCAGTTAGCACTGGCGACACAGCGCCGACAACTGCGTGTTGTTGGCCCGTGCGTACGTGGGGCGGACGACTGCTCGAGGCAGCTGCTCTGAAGGAGCGCTAGCTCCAGAACCGGGTCACCAGAGCTGCTGCCGCGACTGCCGCCACAAACACGTTCACGAAAGTGTACACGTTCGTGTTGTAGTTGTTACTTCAGCCCGAGACGCGCTCGTGGCTCTTTCGTACGCACGCTATCGACAGTCCACACATGCAAAAATAAGTTACGACCTGACCTCAGCACTCGAGCAGGTCAGCAAGTGGATGCGCGTTCGGGCTCTCGATCAGCAACTTGTAGGCAAACTCCTCGAGCATGCGGCACCGCTTGTGCAGATAGCTCAGTTCAAGGCGGTTGAACCACCGGCTCTTGGCATCAATCGGGTGCCACGCTGCCATGGATTGCCGAAACTGGTGCGGGTCAAGTGACCACACAAAGCGGTAGATCGCCGAGTAGCGACACCAGCGACTAATGTAGCGGCCGTCCAGTTGCATCTCAATGAGGTACTCGGCGTGCTGTGCTTTCGACGTCTTGGCTTCGACAATGCGAAAGCTGCGAATCTGAAGCTTCACGGCAATGTGGCGGTCCGACGGCAAAACCCGCATCCACGCGTACTTGCTCTTGTCATAGGGCAAGTCATAGACCTCGTGGAGCGGCGGGAACGTGCGGCACATGTCAAAAGCGCCCGTTGTCTTTCGATTCAGCATGGGCGTCGTCATCGTCGTCAACGACTGGCGACTCGTCGAGGCAGCTGGGAACGTAGTCAACAAGGAGCGCCGTGCGGCGTAGCTGCTGCTCGTCGACGCCGCGTGTCCCTGCAGCTCGTCGTCGACTTCGTCAAAGTCTTTGAACCAGCCCCACTCATAGTCGGCATCGTCGTCGTCGTCGTCGTCGTCGTCGTCTGGTAAGTACGTCGCTTCGGACGACGACGTGAGTCGGTCTTTGGTCATCAGCGTCGACGCGACACTGGGCGACGTGAACGCCTCTTCAATGTCCACGACCTCCTCGCGGCACACGGGACAGCACGCGCCCGACTGGATCCAGCGCTTGATGCACTTGGCGTGGATCACGTGGCCGCAGCCGGACAGCTGCGTGTCGACGTCGTCGGTCAAGCACACGGGGCACGTGGCCCCCACGAGCATTCCCACCCGGCGCTTTTCCAGCAGAATCTCTTCGGCCCGCGCCGTGATCCGCGCGCGTCGCTGGGCTTCGTCTTCGTCACTCCTCGTGTCCCCTGTCTTGCAGCTCGTGGCTTCGTCCAGGACGTTACTGCTGCTCGTGGTACTCAGGACCTCTGTAGCGCGCGGTGGTGACCCCAACGGACGTTCGCTGTAGCTCTTGCGCAGCGCACAGTGCGCGCCGCTGCGGCGCTTGACGGACGTCTGATCGGCGACGCGGACCTGATGCTGCAGCTGCTGCTGTACCTTGTTGGGCCAGATCCAGGCGCGGCTTTCAGTCTCGTGCGGCTCGGCGCGGGGCGAAGCGGCTGTGACCACGTGAGGGCTCGTATTGCTCCTGCGCCTGCGACTGCTCGTGTCCATGAGACCCATCTCGTGGCTGTCGGTGAGGTGGAGGAAGACACGCGACTTCTGGTAACGTCGCTGTCTCGTGTCCTGTCTGTGTCTGTTTACAGAGTCTGTGTGAAGTGAATGGAGCAAGTTGGGGAATGGCGCTGCCCGTTTGTTTGTGTGCGATGAAGTAACAACAAGAGACAGGCGAGAGCGCCTGGGGTAGGTGGTGGCGGCAATGACGCTGCCTCGTGTGTATACTGACTGTATGCCCACGGTCGCTCGCTGACGTGTGATTGGCCGCTCGACTTTCCGACTCGGGGTTTCTATGCACGTTGTCCACTTGACTTGCCGACTTAAGCGAGAGAGAGAGAGAGCGAGCGGGCGAGCGCGCCACAGCGAACTTCAAGTGCCTCGTCTCCTGCCGACGATGGACTGTGGCTTGTCCGTGTCTTTCGCGACATAAAAGGACGAGCGCCGCTCTTATTTAGTGTGGCGGTTGTGGCCCCCAATTCGGCAACTCGTTGTTAAATCGGCGTGTCGAAGCCCAGCGATGGAATAAAACGGCAAAGAGTCAGATGATAGACTCGTGGATAGGCCCGCAGGCAGCCACTGCAGATACCCAGCCACACACAGTATTAACCTCCCAGGCAGCAGCAACCCACCTCGTGCCTGCCTGCCTGCTGCAATCGCAACGATTGGGACCCTCTTCGTGCACGAAAGAAGGATAAACAAAGCTGGTCGAGACGGAATTAGACGCAAGCCAGAAGGGGGCGTGCCCCTCAGGCACGTCGAAGGACTTGCGACTGCCCGTGCGCAGGTCGTCGAGACGCCCATGCGGAGGAAACGCCAGCGCACGGAGCTGCGCGTATTCTACGACGACAGCGCCACCACAGAAAAACGATTGACAGCAGCACGTCAGACGCTGCGTAAGAACAAAGGCACGATGTTGACCCATCTATCGAGCGACGGGGGGCTGCCGAGTTACAGGCGTGCGAGTCGTCCCCCCCCCTTTGTTCCATCCGAGTCGCTTGCACCGACACTATGCACGTTGAACTTCATTGTACCGTAGGAAGCGAGCGCTTACCATCGTCTTGCAGCATGCGGCCACCATTAGGGCTGCTACTCTTCAAGCTGCAGCTCTCTCTCTCTCTCTGCATTCGACCAAATAACTGATCGGCCGACTGACTTGTCGAAAGCGGTTGTGTCGTTGTCGTCGTCTGGACAGATGCACGTCCGTTTGCGTAAGGGGCCAGAAATCGTCACCACACAAGCCACGAAATGGAGCGAGTGCGACACTAACGCTGACCACATATTGAGTCGCACGTACAGTGTTTGGCTCGTCAAATAGACGGCGACAAAACACCTCACGACTTGACACGACGCATCGTAACGTTGCACGACAAAAGGCGGACGGACGGACGGACGGACAGCAGACAGACAGACAGACAGATTAGGTCGTTGGGCCCCTTAGAAACCGCCTCGACGTTCGGTTTCCACAGTTTAGAAACGACACGGTCCGACGATCCAGCTACAAAGTGTATACAACGTAGACAACGGTCCGTGTCGACGTCAAGGCGTCAGCAGAGCGTCTTCGGGCGACTCCGTCATTCAAACGACAGAACGTCATCGTGTGGTCGGAACAACACAGTAATAGCATTACGACTACCACTACTACCACTACTGCTACTACTGCTACTTCACTTGCCCTGTATCCACTATAACTAGTCACGTTGCAGTTATACCGTTGCAGTCATTACGCACGCGGCTGCAACGCTCGACAAGTGTTCGCTCAAATGATCTGATTCACATAGATACTCTGACAGCGCGCGTTGGCAAACGTAATCACGCGGAACGACGGGTTCGCTTCGGCGATCTTCACGAGCCACTCGTTGCACGCGCCGCACGGCGCCAATGGGTTCCGATCGACCAGCGCACTGTCCTCCGTCCGACCGTCCGCGACCGACTCGTCGCACGGGAACGACCGGCAACGTGGCCGCTTCGCACCCGTATCTACCAACGGCTCGAGCCGGTGCTTCCGCGACCCACCGCCTTCACGTGCGCCGCTTGTTACGCTGCCCAGTCGCTGTGCGCTCGACGTGTCCCCCGTCGCGTCCGTGCGACCCGACGCGGCCAGCAGTGCTCTGTCCTCCGTCAATCCTTGCAGTCGCTCCTCGCTCTCGTCTCCGCTCTCAATAGCGGATACTGCACTCGATCCGTTCGTGATGATGCGATGGGCGTCCGGCACACCGTCGCCACGGAGCGTCAGGCCCAGCACAGCAATCATCTTGAGCGCCCGCCGCGTCAACGTCGGGTCGCTCGCCAGCGCACTGCCAATGGCATTGCGCTCGGCACAGAGCGAACCCGTGGGCATCGACACTTCGCAGTTCATGCCGCGCTGCACGACGAGCGTCGGCCGCGCGCCCGCGGCGGTCGCCCGCTGCTCCACGAGCAGCACGGCCAGCACGGGTTTGCGCGACTTGCGGAGCCAAAAGCTCGCGACTTCGCCCTGGCCGACGACGTCGGCCGCGAGGAACTGGTCGCGGAACGTCTGCATCTCGGCCACAATGCGCTGCGTGAGCGCGTCGACGTGGCGCAGCGCCACGACCGGCGACGCCTCAATGTGCTCGAACGCGTGAAAGTCCACGTCCGCGAGCGACAGGCGCGCGTCGCGCCAAAACGTCTTGAGCTGCCACATGTGCAGGTACGACGGGCGGTAGAGCCGCAGCGCAGCGTTCAGCGCACTCAGACGCGCTGGCGGTCCGTCGGCGTAGGCGATCGTCACGTGGAACTGCGCTTGCCACTGGTCGCCAAAGCGGTCCACGAGCGTCTCGCGGTGCGCGTCGAGCAGCGGCCGCAGCTCGCGCGTCATGAACTGCACATTGTCGTCGAAGCGAAAGATGTTCGAGCCCGAGTGCAGCTGCACGACGGTCAAGTGGCCATAGAACGCGCGCCCAAACAGCGCGAGGAGCGCGCCCGTGGCCTCTGTCGAATTGCCCGTGCCAACATCGGCCAACGGCCCCACGTCGCGCGGGATTCCTGCGCCGCTGATCAAGTAGACGAGTTGGGCCCTGCGCGTCGCGTCGACCGCCTCGAGCACGTGGCGCCACTTGGGCAGCAGCAGCGCCAGCAGTGGGAAGTAGACGGCCGTAATGGCCACGCGGTCCCAATAGCGCGCGACGCGCGACGTCGTCGCGCGCTCGCCGCGGAGCTGAAAGTCGTTCCACAGCGCCGACGAGCGGACCGCAATGGGTGCGGCCGCCAAGTTGAAGCCGATCGGCAGCTGCGTCGCGCGGCAGCGGGCGGTCCAGCGGTCGTCCGGCGCCGTCGCGTCGGCCGTGTGGTGCTGCAGGTGCGCGAGGATCTGCCGACTCGTGGGCTGCACGAGACTGTACTTGGGGCGGCCCAAGATCGTGAGGGGAACGGCCGTGCCGTCGACGTCGACGGTCGGTGACGACGGAGTGCTGGGACCCGTGTGGCGATTGCTATTGCTGTTGCTGTTGCTGCTGTTGCTGGTGGGGACGTCGGCGCTGTCGGTGCGTAGCCACGAGAGCTCTACGAGGAGGTCCGAGTGCGAGATGTTGTGCACGAGGAACTCCATTGCAGACAGAGAGAGAGAGAGAAGAAGAGAGAGAAGAAGAGAGAGAACGACTGCAAGTCAACTGAACGAGACGACGACGACGACGTGTTTTTCTGAAGTGGCTACAGACGGGGCGAAAGAGCGGGTCCATTTCGACATGTCGCAGGGTGAGGCGGGTAACGTGATGACGACGGCGCGTCAGTGGACTTGTTTGCCAAAAGTGTAGCCACGTGCCAGCTGACCGGCAGCCAGCTCTGTGTTACACGTTGCTGCCCGTCCAGAGGTTCTTCCACGACGCCGATCGGTCCCGTGCCGCTCGCGCCGCTCGATCGGTCGGTACGTCCGGTGCAACCGCCTGGTATCGCGCGTGGGTCTGTCGGGCTTCCAGCTCGGCCTGGCGCTCCTGCGCCTCGCGCAAGGCGGCACTGAGCTGCTCCAGCTTGGACTCGTAGGCCAAGATCACGTGCTGCGACTGGCTCAGACGGCTCTTCATGCCCAGCACACTGCCTTCGAGCTTGCGGATCTCAATGTCCTGCTGGGCCAGCTCCTCCTCCTTCTGCTCCATCTGCAGCGACAGCCGACTCACGTCCGAGAGCTTGACAGCGTCAAACATCTGGTCGTGCACGACACTGCCGCGTCGTCGGTATTTGAAGCGCACTTCGCTTGCAGAGGAATCCGACACGGACCCCGGCGACATTGGCGGCTGCTCGGCAACATGGGCTTGATGATGGACACAGTCTGCGGGCAAGTGCTGCTGACCATTGCCGGCACTGACGATGTCCGCGCCATCCAGCATGTGGCGTGACTCTAGTAGCGCCATGCGGTCTTCCTCGTCGTCGACTGAGATTTGGGGCGCCGACTTGACGTAGCTGGTCTGGATCGTTGACTCGACGGTCTTGGCATTCGAGACGAACGACTCGACCAGGAAACCAACGAAAATGGGAAGCAAGATGTTGCTCATCGTCATGCGGTACGCGAAGAAAAAGACGTACGTCGAGTCGGAGCCGGTCACAGCATGGGCAGCGTCCATGACGGCATCCCACCCAGCAAGATTTGCCACCCCAAATAGCGTCAAAAGTGTCTGCTCGAACGTCTCGGCCTGAAACTCCTCGCGCTGTGCATACCAACCAGGCGACATCGACTGTTTGCTCGCCGGAAAGTCTCGCAACGCGACTCCGTAATTGGCCTGGGTCACGATCGCAAATGCGTACATGAAGCTGAAGATCACGAGCAGCAGCTGCATAATCAGTGGCATGATCGCCTTCATGGTGTACATGATCTCGTGGAACGGCGGGAACAAGTTCAGCAGCTTGAGAAAACGCAGCGATCGCACAGCCAGCGCCATATCGTAGAAGACCAACGAGATGTGCGGCGGTCGGGAAAGCGTCGTGAGCACGTAGAACAACCAGCCCACACTGACGACGGCCAAGTCCAACTTGCAGAACGGTCGCGTGAAGAATTCGTTGTAGCCAAAGGCAAACATCTTCACCAGCAGTTCCAACGTGAACAGATTCAGCAGGAAGAACCCTAGCAGGCGCCACGAGTTGTTCACGGAGAAGGCCAACTGGATGTTGTTCACTTGCACTGCCTGAACGACAGAGAGACAAATGAGCACGCCAACGACAAGCTCGGCCAGAACTACCCGATGGCGGCCACAGATACGGACTTCGTACAACAGCGTCCCACGCACTTGTCCACGAAAGCGACGAAATGACTGGCGCTGACGCGGTGTACAAAAGTGGCGCATCAAGCTGTTCGAAAAGAGCGTCGGGCGCTCAAGCTTCACACTGAGCAGCGAGCAGAGCTGGTAGAAGTCCGTCAGATCCAGGAAGCCCAGATGCTCAATGTCCACGGTGTTGAACACGAGCTCAGCGTCCGTCGCGGTCCATTTGGGCTTGAGATACTCACACACGTTGATCCATGACTCCAGCGAGATGTGCCGCTTGTTCGCCGGGGTCACAATGCTGGCATTCGGATTCGGGTTGGCAACATTGAACGACGCGCGCCTATCTAGCGTGCCCAAGAAGAAGCGCGACGATCCACGTCGGTTCGCAGCATTCAACATGGGCGCATCCGAAACCAGACTGATGTCATTTGCCGCATTGAGAGGCGTGCTGCCGGCGCCTGGCTGATTCGTTGGTCCGTCGTCTTCAAAGTTCAGGTTCTGAGCAAGGATGTCAAAGGCGGCGTACAGCGCGGCCTTGCGCTTCTGCAGACGCTTGTACAGCATGTTCTCGGTGTTCTTCTTGTACGACTTGTACGAGACAGCGATCGTGAGCTTGAGCAGGAACAGGTTCGTCAGCAAGACAAACAGCACGAAAAAGACTGCGCTCCAGTGCGTCATCTTGTAGTACGCGTACATGCTCTTGGGCATGTACGGCATGCAGTTGAGTATGAGCAGCATGGTATACATCGAGGACGAGAGCGAGTTGAAGTACGTGGCGTCCATGGCGTCGCTCGTGTCCGAGAAGATGAGGTATCCCACAAGTCCAAAGAAGGCGACAAAGCAGAAGCTCAATCCCAGCACGATCAAGACTTCCCGCAGCGCGTGCAGAAAGCTCGAGAAAATGATGCGGATGTTCCTCCCTCTCGCGATGAAGAAGAACGGTCGCAGCGCTCTGGAAAACCGATACGGGTTGAACGTCGGGAAGAGCACGTTCACGAGCAAGTCGGCGCACGTCACGAGCAGCAACGTCATTCTCACGACCGCCCATGGCTGCCTCGACAGGTACTTGTGCTGCGTCTCCACGGAGCTCATGTACCATCGAATGGCAAGGTCTACGCCAAAGACAAACAGACAGAGCAAGTCCACGAGCAAGTACGAGTTAATGTCGTAGTCGCCCGGACTCTCGACGAACGCCATAGCGCACATGACCGCGACCACAAGAATGTACATCATCCGGTATGACTCCGAGTGGAACACTTCGTTCAGCAGCAGTGCGTCGCGGTCGAGACGGTAGCCAATCTTCCGGCCATGGACGCCGTCCTTGATGAAGGCTGCAGCAATGATGTACCGGTCTTCTTCAAGGCACGTGCCGTATGCCCTGGCCGCCAGGATCACGTCCTCGTCGGTTTCGTGCGCCGCGTCCACGGGCGAGTCCAAGTGGTACGTCGGGACGCCCGAGCCCAGCCGCGTCTTGTGCTCGTGCGCGAGCTGCTGCCGGTGCTTCATGAACTCGAACTGCACCTCACTGGCCATGCTCTTGGCCGTGCTATTGTCGTCGCGAATGTCCGACAGGCGCTTCCACTTTTTCTGGTTGTCCAGGACGGCCGCGTCGAGGCCCACGCGCACGCGCGCCTTGGCGCGGCTCGGGAGCGACGCGGGGGCTGTGTCTGTGTCTACGTCTGCTGTGGGGCGCGGCGGGCCCTGGTAGGTGGCGAGCGACGCGCCGGCGGCGACGAGCGGCGTGACCTCGTCGTCCGGGGACGGCATGGCGTGACGCGGTTGGAAATTGGGCCAATGGGAGTGGCGGACGGCGGGCGGGTGGGGAGGGGTGGGACGACGGGGGGCGTGACGAACTCGATCGGTGATGCGACACGCACGCGAATAGGAATGCTTATCGAGAGAGGAGGATAGATAGAGAGAGAGAGAGATGGAGATGGAGGGGTCGAGTGATAGATAGAGAGAGAGATGGAGAGATGGAGGGGTCGAGTGATAGAGAGAGAGAGGGAAATGTGTTTTTGCATCCCGTGGGGTGTCGAGCTGGGTGGATTGGTGGGGGGCAAGAGGAGGGGGGAGATCGGTTGTGACGGGGTATACGACCACGGAGGAAACAACAGCTGTCGCGCGTGGTGTGGACTGGCGGACCACGTGCGCCATGGGAAAAGCCAGTGAGTCCGTGGACCTGAGCAGTGCAAGCGCCGGTGGGTTCTAAACCGACCGCCTGTGGCTTTGTGCCGATGTTTTGGTGCGGTATTGCAACACGGAATCTAATGTAGTGTGGACGTAGGAACGCAATGGAAGAGCAGTGACTTTGTGCGTTTCGATCCTCCCTCGGAATGGCCGATTTCGTTAATCTTCCAGACAGTTGACTGTGACAAGCCAACTTCCGACGTTACTTAGCACCACTCGTGTCCCCTCCAGCGGCCTCTGTGCTGATAGCACTCGCACACCGCTGCATGTGTTCCAGACGGACACGTACTCGGACATCCTCGGCCCGTAAACCAGAGCTTTGTCGAAGGCACGACAGGCCGAACAAGTGTACCAGCGTCAGGGTAAGTACTGGCCATCGTCTAACAAATCAGCTCAAGCTTTTGCGCTTTCAACGGGCCCACGTCACTTCGGTCACTTGTACTGTACAGCGACTGACCGAGTTGCAAAGACACGATCATTCCTACACCTGCATGGCCAATGTGATGCTTCCAGCGTGAAGAGGTCCCATGACCAGCGCACGACATACAAATTGCAGCACCACAGAAAAATCGCAACTACTCCATTCTAACGTCATCAAAACCAATTTGATGCGCCATCAATGCCGCTATCTGCGATCACCACATTCTGCAGTAAGCACTCGACAGCCACGTCCAATCCGTTGACGCAGCAGTGTCCCTCCCCGTTAGCATCGCGTGAATTTGTGAGGCCGAATGGGACTGTCGAGGGGTCGTCTTGTAAACAAACCTCAAAGCCGCGTATTGGACTGAGGTATACTTTCGCGATACTGTGATTGGTACGAGATACATTGTTCAGAGTGAGCAATCAATCAATCGGTAACATTCTCCCAATTTGTGATGTCGGGGCACGTTCTGCTTACTCTGACGCAGTGTAAACTATTTACACTGACACAGTACATGCAACCTGCGCCGAGTATGGTGTAAACTTATGCACCGAGACCGCTCGCATGCTGTCGTGCAAGAAAGCACAGACTGGTAGACGTAACGCTTAGTCTGTGGGAAAAGCGAAATGTAATAGGTAGGGTATCAGTGTGATCTCCTGTAAACCCACTCTGTCCATCTCCAACTACATAGCGACTGCCTGCTCATTGCACGCGTCTGGCATTGTTTGGTGACATTTGTTGGCATTCCGATTGGAGCATCAATTGATGCGCAGTGAGTTGCGAACTGCCGCCAATATTACCGGCAAAGGTGATGTTGATTCAAACCACCTTCGGCTGGACCTATGTATAACACATCGTAGAACATCATCCACATGGCCATATTCGCAATAATATGCACTCGATGTCGATGTCGTTAAATCCGATTACCCAGCTACATCATGCCCTCCGTTACCAATTGTCACATGAGTGAGCATACATTGCATACGTAACTACGGCTAGGGCTCTCTGAATGCAGAAACCGCTTGTTGGTCAGACACGTCCATCCACAGATGCTTTATTGCATGGTCAGTCAATTCATGCGGTGCGCGGACAAGAGCGCTCGGTGCGCGACTGTACGACTGTACTTATCTGACAATAAGTCCTCTGCTTTTCCACCGTCAGTCAATTTGAGGTTTGCTGCTGACGCTGTTGGTCCGGAACGGTACACGTTGCAGGTTCACCTACTATTGCACCACGTGATGGTGATGACCCCGAGAAGGATCTTGTCCAGACAGACGATGCTTCTGACTCAACAGAAAAGCCTGCTGAATATTCCGGCTCGTCCGGCGAAGGAAACGAATTGCCGTGAAGATTCGATTGAGGCGAAAGCCGACGTATTAGATCCATTCTGTACCATAAGCGACTCGCTTTCTAAGCGAAGTCGGGCTCAAAGCGCTCGATAAGGGCCACATTCACGGTGTATCTGACAATCGCGATGCTGACGGTGACATGAATATGTTATAACGCGAGCGAAGTAATCGGTTGATCGTGACAAACGTGGTGGATGCACTTGTATTGACATCACGACGAAGTACGTGAACCGTAATATCTTGACAATCTTGTCAAAAAGGCATGTGAATATCCAAATCGATAAACGAATTGCTAGCTTAAGAGACAATGACCAGTTATTGCAATCATACTCGAGTTTTCAGCTCATCAAGTCTCTATCTCTTGGACGTCACTGTGATCAAAGTTTGGCTTGAGCATGCCTTTTAGCGTCATTGCCTTGGTAAGACAGCGACGATGTAAATTTATCGTAGAGCGACAGTTGCATACTTTTGCGAACTGAATGCATAATCTTAATTTGTTCAACGCATTGGTCGTGAAACCCGACTCGACAAGCTATTCGCCATCCTCGACACGTTTATGATGCTTATACAGTTGTGGGGTTCAGTTGCATGTTCTAGTAAAGATATTGTCGTTCTCCATGCCTGCTGGGGGAATAAATATATGAGTTGCGACAAAATCGCGGCTTGTACGCTCACAGAAACTTTACTCAAACTTGGTGCTTATAGCATTAGTATTGCTTGTTAGAAATGCATATGCATTAATGATCTACAACGCCTTCAAAAATGAGCCAGTCATTCTACTATGATAGGCTTTTACATGAGGATGTAAATATGATCGGTGAGATGCCGGTCGATGAGATTTGGCTTTTTGCGGAACCTTTCGCATTGAAAAGGTTCACATCTTTTAAATCGATTGGAGTTGACACTGATACTTTCTTATACATACCTTTTTGTAAAAGCACATGCATCGTATATCTATTTTGATACAGGCGTGAGATACTTGTAAATGCTAGTAAAAATCCATGCTGTTCATTGATGACATTATAGTTACATTACACTTAATCGAGTAAGATGTGACTTCTGATGTATGCGACATTGTCTGGGTAGGATGCTCTGGATTTACTACTTAAACAACTTCGATAACGTCTCTTTGTATCGTTTACTCCGGTCAATTGGCCAGACTCGTCTTGATTTTGTCGACAAAACTATGGTGGTGTGGCGTTCACAAAGCTGCCGTGTTGATCCTAACTCTCCAGTGGCGCACGGCCGACTATCAGAGGGGGTATTCCGTATTCATTCATTGCTCCTTTTTCTTCGCCTCGTGAACCCATCGGTAGCTCGAGTCGCACTCTTCCCGGTGTACTCAAATCAATGTCCAACCTGATTAGCTTAGAAACGGAACGGAGGGGAGGTAGATAAATCGTAAACTTCACTAGATAGCGTTGGAACTTCGAGATAACTCGATATGAGTTGCCATAATCGAATATAGACTACCTGGTTGTATAACTTATGGATTATACTATATTACTTACCCCTGACCACTGAAACCGTTTAGCGATTTTTTTTCTAAACCACCAATGTTTCGCTGCGTCCAGTCACGTGCAACTTTTGCCTTGGATGCACTTTTACACTTGGCCAAAAATACGAACAATAATAGCGATCAGGACGAAAATTGATTCTCTGTGAGTCTGGAAGGCGAAAGAAGTTTTGCTGGGAGGAAAGTCCATACGTGTTTCATCCGACAAGTAAAATGCACGCCGTCTTTGCTTAAACACTTATCCTAACAATACTACTACGTGCATTCCTACTGTCAGCTTACAATTGTATTGTCACGTAGTGTCTATCACTAAATTTCGTTCCCTGTGCGATGTGGGTCACTTCATGTACTCATCGGCATCGATTGCAGATAGTGATGCCTGGTACAGTCACACATTAACTGTATCACGTGATTCAATTTCCAACACGTTATTGCCTTCAACAACTAATCGCAATCGTTAACCTCACGATTGCAGATCGCGGGTAATCGATCGTGGAGTACGTACAAAACACGATAGATTGGGCCTCCTTCCTTGATTAGAGATGTGGGTCCCTAAAACCAGGTTTTTGTCCGCGGATAGCTGTTTACGATATCAACCGGGATATAACGCGCTCAATAACACGATTGCGATCGCACTTCCACCTCAAACATACGCCTGTATTCATCTTGAAGTATCTTCCTACTTCTTAATGACTTCTCTACCTTCATGACCCTTCGTTCGTAGTATATCTTCCATTGAAAAATCCAAATATTTACTCAGAGCATTGGCATACATATTCGATCGTGGGCAGCAAATCGCGAATCAGAAATCTTGATCGTGCCCTCAAATAGCATGTCTTTCCATTTTATTCCGGCACCATCACGCATTTTCTCTAGGTGCAACTATTGAACATAAGCTAAACGAATACGACAATCCCATGCCAATCAATGTCGAATTGATCTTAGCTAAACGTGAATGCGATCCTTTGTCAAAAATTTCGTGATCATTTTACCGCACTATTTCTTTAAGTGTATCAGCGCCAACACTTGCTTACGACAACGATTACGATAATCAATGTATTATATATTTCCTATGAACCAAATTTTTTGAGGTATTCAAATATATATTTTTATTAAATGGTTTGATAGTAGTTTACTCCACCACAACCGTTCCCCTATGTCGACTGTATAGTCAACCAATGATTGCCGTGGTGCCGCTTTTTAGAAACAAATTTCTTCAATCCTATATGCTGACCGCTCTTCGTGCATACATATTCCAGTACACTCGACCTATTGTAGCGGTAGACACCCGTCG